AATTTAAGGATGCGATTCAATCAGCTCTAAATTCATTCTCAAGTCACAATAACAGAGGACTCCTATGCTAATTTCAGTCCCTCCCAAATCGATCATCTTGTTGATAGTGCTGCAGGCTCGCTTCGAATGACACTGGACTCTGTAGCCCCTCTAAAAAAGAAAATACTAAAACAAAGATGGTTGCTCCATGGTATAATACTGAAACTCACAAATTAAAGCAAATATCACGGAAAGACAGAGAGTCACAGCTCTATGAGCCAAGTATTCCCATAGCTCTCAGCAGTTACGACTTCATGAGCTTCTTTAATGATAAATTCTAGCTATTAGAGACAAAATTCACCAGACCTGCCCTCAACTGGCACCGACTTATCTCTTAACTCAGGAACCTTAGAAACAGCTGTAGAACCAGATACATGTTTAGACTGTTTTGCTTCCTCAATCTTACCAACTAACTTCAATATTCTTCATCTAAACCATCAACCTGCCTCTTAGACCCCATCCCACTAGGTTGCTTAAAGAGTTTTACCCTTAGTCAGCACCTCTATACTAGATATGATCAATCTATCTCTATCAACAGGCTATGTACCACAGTACTTTAAAGTAGCTGTAATTAAACCTCTTCTGAAAAAGCCCAAAATTGATCCGGATGTTTTAGCCAACTATAGACCTATATCTAACCTTCCATTTCTCTCTAAGGTTCTGGAGAAAGCATTGCTAAACAGCTGTGTGACTTTCTATAGAGCAATAGTTTATTTGAGGATTTTCAGTCAGGATTTAGAGCTCATCATAGCACAGAGACAGCACTGGTGAAAATTACTAATGACCTCCTTATTGCATCAGACAAAGGACTTGTCTCTGTACTGGTTTATTAGATCTTAGTGCTGCATTTGATACCATTGACCATCAGATCCTATTGCAGAGACTGGAACATTTCATTGGCATTAAAGGAACCGCTCTAAGCTGGTTAAGTCCTATTTATCAGATCGATTTCAGTTTGTACATGTTAACGATGAGTCCTCCATGCATGCCAAAGTTACTCATGGAGTTCCTCAAGGATCTGTCCTTGGACCAATCCTCTTCACTTTATATATGCTTCCTTTAGGCAATATTCAGGAAACATTCCATAAGCTTTCATTGTTATGCAGATGATACTCAGTTATCTATCGATCAAGCCAGATGAAACTCATCAGTTAACTAAACTTCAAATGTGCCTTCAGGATGTTAAAACCTGGATGACTGTAATTTTCTAATGTTAAACTCAGATAAAACTGAAGTTATTCCTGGGGCCTAAGCACCTCTGACGCATTATCTAAAGATATAGTTTCCCTGGATGGCATCGCCCTGGCCTCCAGCACCACTGTGAGGAATCTTGGAGTCATCTTTGATCAGTACATGTCGTTTGAAGTCTCACATTAAGCAAATTTCAAGGACCGCCTTTTTCACCTACGTAATATTGCGAAAATCAGGAACATCCTGTCTAAAAATGATGCAGAAAACTAGTCCATGCATTTGTTACTTCTAGGCTGGATTACTGCAATTCCTTATTATCAGGCTGCTCGAAAAGTCCATTAAGACTCTTCAGCTGATCCAGAATGCTGCAGCACGTGTTCTGACAGGAACCAGGAAAGAGATCACATTTCTCCTGTTTTAGCTTCTTTGCATTGGCTTCCAGTAAAATCCAGAAGAATTTAAAATCATTCTTCTTACCTACAAAGCTCTTAATGGTCAGGCACCATCTTATCTTAAAGAGCTCATAGTACCTTACTACCCCACCAGAGCACTGCGCTCCCAGAATGCAGGGTTACTTGTGGTTCCTAGAGTCTCCAAAAGTAGACTAGGAGCCAGAGCATTCCGCTATCAAGCTACTCTCCTGTGGAACCAGGTTCCAGTTTGGGTTCAGGGGCAGACACCATCTCCACATTTAAGAGTAGGCTTAAGACTTTCCTCTTTGATAAAGCTTATAGTTAGGGCTGGCTCAGGTAGTCCTGAACCATCCCTTAGTTATGCTGCTATAGGCCTAGACTGCCGGGGGATTTCCCATGATGCACTGACCTCTCTCCTCTACTTTCTCTCCCTCTGTATGCAACCTCATCCCATTATTGCATGTTACTAACACAACTTCTCCCCTTTCTGGTAGTCTTGTGCTTTCGTCTCTCTCCTCTCTCCTATCACTTCCTGCAGGTGTTTCTGGCTCTGGAGCTGTGGAGTCTGGATCTGTGGTTGCGGGTCACCTGCTGCCCCCGTGTTCCTGCTCGACACCCTCTGCTGCAACGACTATTATTATTATTGTTATTATAATCATTAACATTACGACTGTTACCATTAACACTATTATAAATATCTGTACCATTTTTCATTTAGTCTATAGCAACATCACCTTTACTGTCTGTACCTCTGTGTGGATATTGTGTAGGCTGCCTCCCTCCCCTCTCTCTCCTTACATCTCTCTCTCTCTCTCCTTACATCTCTCTCTCTCTCTCTCTCTCTTTCTCTCTCTCTCTCTCTCTCTCACCCCAACCGGTCGAGGCAGATGGCCGCCCACCCTGAGCCATGGTTCTGCTCGAGGTTTCTGCCTCTTAAAGGAAGTTTTTCCTTGCCTCTGTCTCCTAGTGCTGCTCTTGGTGGGAACTGTTGGGCTTCTGTAAATATCATCACAGAGTACGGTCTAGACCTGCTCTTTATGAAAAGCGCTGTGAGATAACTGTTGTTGTGATTTGGCGCTATATAAATAAAATTGAATTGAATGTAAATCTGATTTCAGGTCTGTTAACACCTCATACAGTCTATGATTAACACAGTTAAACGGGGCATTACAGGGAACAGCTCCTGTTTGGTGACCTGTCCCCGGAAAACGGGGACGTCCTGTCAGCCTCTTTTGAAGCTGTTACTTAAAAATGACTCCAACACATGAGAACAAACCCACGTGCGTCTGAGCTGAGCTAGATCAGATTATGTGCTGGACTCTGTCCCCCTCGTGAGCCCACGTGTCTTTTTCACACGTTACTGTTTGTACAGGTTAAACCAACAGGATGCATGATCCTTACAGAGTGCAGGATTTGCAGGTCTTTTAATTTGAAAAACCCTCGTCCTGTTGTGTTCTCCAGACGTTTCAGTGTCAGGTTAAGGTTGTGGTGGTTCCCTGGCTGAAACAGACCATGACTCCAGTGTTGAGCTGTAAACCCTGAAACCAGCAGCTGCCTCCACCTTCATCCTCCTCCTCCTGACCCCTGATGGAGTTCACAGTGACGGTTACCTCCACCTGCAACACTAAGCCTGTCTCACTAAGTTTTCCTGCTGATTTACCTGCTCACATCCACTAAGTCTGTGAGGGTTCAGCACTCAGACTGGGCCAGACAACATGATTCAGGTGGATTTCAGTCTCTGAGACGTCACATGTCGAGTCACACAAGGTACAGCTGCTGAGTATAAAGGAACGAGCAGGAGAGTTTGTTCCTGTGAACAGAGCTGATCTGTGTTCAGAGCATCGAGGCCTCACACCAAACAGACGAGAACTCACAGACAGAGTGCATGATGGGACTGAAGACGCTGCTGCTCGTCTCTCTGCTCGGCGTTCTGGGTAAAAGTTTCTTCTTCTTTAACACGGTTTAATGTTGGAAAGGGGCCACGCTGGATTCCTCCTTTTCCAAACCACCAGTTTTCAGCCTGACTTCCTTCTTTCCGTCTAACAGGATTTAACTCTGTTCGGGTGGGAATTTCTGTAAGCTGTGTACGCAGCAGCTTGTTCAGCGCTGAATTGAACAGCTTTTCTTGTTGTTTGGACGCAGTTTTAGGAACAGAAGCATGATAAAGTCACACACTGAAACTCTGCAACATAAAACTCCTCAGTCAAACAGAAACGAGCTTCTCTTTCAGCTCTGAAGCTGCAGATATCTAGTGGGGAGAAACTAAAGAGAACTCGTGTTAAATGTTTAGTGAAGCGATCGACGTGTGAAAAGGAGACGAGGGTTTGAGTTTGTGATCACTGCAGCTGCCAGAAGTGGAGTCAGTTAGAATCTGCCAAGCAGCAAAACTTCCCCTGACTGAAATACTTTATTTTGAAGACGACTGACGATTTTCTGAACTGTTATGGTTTAATCTTTAAAGCAGCTAACTCTGTCAGAGAAATGTACTGTAGTAGAAAGTGGTAAAGTACAAACTCAGACGTCCTGCAGACTAAACTCTATCAGCACAAACTCTAGTGAAGCGAGTGTTGAAGACAAGCGCCACTCTAAGGTCAGAGGTGATGGTCTTCCTCTCCCCCTGCAGCGCTGGAGGTGTTGGCGGGCCGCAGAGTTGGAGGTGTGACCAACATCAACAAGGACGACCCCGACCTCCAAAAGGCCCTCCTCGTCGCCACCAACTACTACAACACCCAATCAAAAGACCCCTTCCTCTACAAAATCTCCTCCGTCAGCAAGGCACGGAGTCAGGTACGACACAGTGTGTGTGTGTAAAGCACTTTGATAGTGCAGCCATCAGCAGTTACCCAGGTGAAGTACAAGTACCTCACTATTGTACTGAAGTACAGTACTTGAGTAAATGTACTTAGTGACTCTGCTGTCGTGTGTTTCAGTTGGTTGCAGGGATTCTGTACAGCGTGGATTTGGCAATTTCCAAAACCACCTGCCGTAAACTCCCCAGCCAAGATCTGTCCAAATGCAGCTTTAAGCTTCCTCGCAAGGTGAGTCTGAACAGGTGCTCCATGGTAGGGGTCTGAACAGGTGCTCCATGGTAGGGGGTGAACAGGTGCACCATGGTAGGGGTGAACAGGTGCACCATGGTAGGGGTGAACAGGTGCACCATGGTAGGGGTCTGAACAGGTGCCCCATGGGGGGGGGCTGAACAGGTGCCCCATGGTAGGGGGGTGAACAGGTGCACCATGGGGGGGGCTGAACAGGTGCACCATGGTAGGGGTGAACAGGTGTACCATGGTAGGGTGAACAGGTGCACCATGGTAGGGGGGTGAACAGGTGCACCATGGGGGGGGCTGAACAGGTGCACCATGGGGGGGGGGCTGAACAGGTGCACCATGGTAGGGGGGTGACAGGTGCACCATGGGGGGGGCTGAACAGGTGCACCATGGTAGGGGCTGAACAGGTGCACCATGGTAGGGGTGAACAGGTGCACCATGGTAGGGGGGAACAGGTGCACCATGGGGGGGCTGAACAGGTGCACCATGGGGGGGGGGCTGAACAGGTGCACCATGGTAGGGGTCTGAACAGGTGCACCATGGGGCGTCTGAACAGGTGCACCATGGTAGGGTGAACAGGTGCACCGTGGTGGGTCTGAACAGGTGCACCATGGTAGGGTGAACAGGTGCACCATGGGGGGGGCTGAACAGGTGCACCATGGGGGGGGGGGAACAGGTGCACCATGGGGGGGCTGAACAGGTGCACCATGGGGGGGGGGCTGAACAGGTGCACCATGGTAGGGGGGTGAACAGGTGCACCATGGGGGGGGCTGAACAGGTGCACCATGGGGGGGGGCTGAACAGGTGCACCATGGTAGGGGTCTGAACAGGTGCACCATGGGGCGTCTGAACAGGTGCACCATGGTAGGGGTGAACAGGTGCACCATGGTAGGGGTCTGAACAGGTGCACCATGGTAGGGGCTGAACAGGTGCACCATGGTAGGGGTGAACAGGTGCACCATGGTAGGGGGGTGAACAGGTGCACCATGGGGGGGGCTGAACAGGTGCACCATGGGGGGGCTGAACAGGTGCACCATGGTAGGGGTCTGAACAGGTGCACCATGGGGCGTCTGAACAGGTGCACCATGGTAGGGTGAACAGGTGCACCGTGGGTGGGTCTGAACAGGTGCACCATGGTAGGGGTGAACAGGTGCACCATGGGGGGTCTGAACAGGTGCACCTGGTGAGGATTTGTAGGTAAAGTTCTTTAATGTGAAAAATCCACTTCCTGTTGTGTTTTCCAGACGCTTCAGTGTCACGTTAAGGTTTTGGTAGTTCCCTGGCTGAAACAGACCACAACTCTGGAGTTCACCTGTGAACCCTGAAACCAGCAGCTGCCTCCACCTTCTTCATCATCATCCTCCTCCCTGATGGAGTTCACTGTGATGGTGTCGTCGGCTCCACCTGCAGCTCATCATCTGTAACACTAAACCTTTCTCACAAGTTTTCCTGCTGATTTATTTCTGTATTTACGTGTAGTGAAGCAGAAACTGTGCTGTCTGTAATCTTTGGTTGTGCTGAGTGCAGACGAGGCCACCTGCTGGTCAGGTGGATGTACAGCAGCAGGTGGCCTGTCCTACAACACACACACACACACAAATAAATTCAATCAATCAATCATTCAACCAATCAAAACTGAGTTCAGACCAGAATTAAACTGTAAATTTATTGTAAAATCTGCAATAACAAATAAAACATTGCAAACCAATCACACATTATGAGACTGAATTTCTTTTCCTTAAAGTTTTATTAATTTACTTATCGATAATATCGTCAGTATTTTGTCTATAAATGAATATATTTCAACATAATAAATTCTTTTAAGAGATTATCGTGTAATTAAAAGGTTCCGTGTGTAATATTTCTGAAGATCTATCAACAGAAATGCAATATAAGATCCATAACTGTTTTCAGTGGTATGTAAATCCTTCCGTAATGAACTGTTGTGTTTTTATTACCTCAGAATGAGACATTTATATCTCCATAGTCAAGCAGGCCACAGACTCTTAATGTCGTTCTGAGTTTTTCAAAGTAAAAGCTCAGTTCAACTCTAAATAAAAAGCATTACAGTAAACAAGCTTCTCGTGCTTTTATTCTGTAGGCAGAACCACTAATGAGGAAGTGATTATGTGAGTAAGTGTTGCTGACATGACTGAGATCTATTTCAGCACCGCTATCAAAGTATTTATTTATATTTTAAGTCATTATTATTATAAGTCACAATAACATCTGGTTTTACTTGTTAATGTATCTACATAAAGGTCTTCCAGCTTGTAGTAAAACATACAGTGAGGAAAATAAGTATTTGAACACGCTGCTATTTTGCAAGTTCTCCCACTAAGAAATCATGGAGGGGTCTGAAATTGTCATCGTAGGTGCATGTCCACTGTGAGAGACATAATCTAAAAAAATATCACAATGTATGATTTTTTAACTATTTATTTGTATGATACAGCTGCAAATAAGTATTTGAACACCTGTCTATCAGCTAGAATTCTGACTCTCAAAGACCTGTTAGTCTGCCTTCAAAATGTCCACCTCCACTCCATTTATTATCCTAAATTAGATGCACCTGTTTGAGGTCGTTAGCTGCATAAAGACACCTGTCCACCCCATACAATCAGTAAGAATCCAACTACTAACATGGCCAAGACCAAAGAGCTGTCCAAAGACACTAGAGACAAAATTGTACACCTCCACAAGGCTGGAAAGGGCTACGGGGAAATTGCCAAGCAGCTTGGTGAAAAAAGGTCCACTGTTGGAGCAATCATTAGAAAATGGAAGAAGCTAAACATGACTGTCAATCTCCCTCGGACCGGGGCTCCATGCAAGATCTCACCTCGTGGGGTCTCAATGATCCTAAGAAAGGTGAGAAATCAGGCCAGAACTACACGGGAGGAGCCGGTCAATGACCTGAAAAGAGCTGGGACCACCGTTTCCAAGGTTACTGTTGGTAATACACTAAGACGTCATGGTTTGAAATCACGCATGGCACGGAAGGTTCCCCTGCTTAAACCAGCACATGTCAAGGCCCGTCTTCAGTTTGCCAATGACCATTTGGATGATCCAGAGGAGTCATGGGAGAAAGTCATGTGGTCAGATGAGACCAAATAGAACTTTTTGGTCATAATTCCACTAACCGTGTTTGGAGGAAGAAGAATGATGAGTACCATCCCAAGAACAGCATCCCTACTGTGAAGCATGGGGGTGGTAGCATCATGCTTTGGGGGTGTTTTTCTGCACATGGGACAGGGCGACTGCACTGTATTAAGGAGAGGATGACCGGGGCCATGTATTGCATCCTCAGTTAGAGCATTGAAGATGGGTCGAGGCCGGGTCTTCCAACATGACAATGACCCGAAGCACACAGCCAGGATAACCAAGGAGTGGCTCTGTAAGAAGCATATCAAGGTTCTGGCGTGGCCTAGCCAGTCTCCAGACCTAAACCCAATAGAGAATCTTTGGAGGGAGCTCAAACTCCGTGTTTCTCAGCGACAGCCCAGAAACCTGACTGATCTAGAGAAGATCTGTGTGGAGGAGTGGGCCAAAATCCCTCCTGCAGTGCAAACCTGCTGAAAAACTACAGGAAACGTTTGACCAAACAAAGGCTACTGTACCAAATATTAACATTGATTTTCTCAGGTGTTCAAATACTTATTTTCCTCACGGTATCACTCCATTACTCAGTGACCTCCACTGGCTCCCCGGGGCCTCCAGAATCAAATTCAAGTCACTAATGCTGCATACAGAGTGACTACTGGGTCTGCACCATCTACCTAAACTCCATAATACAAACTTACGTTCCTTCTCGGCCGCTACGCTCCTCCAGCGAACGCCGCCTGGCTCTGCCATCCCTTCACACAAAGCAATCCCAGTCCCGGCTGTTCTCATCTGTGACCCCACGATGGTGGAACAAGGTGCAACACGCCATCAGAGCAGGAGCGTCCCTCTCTGACTTCAAGAAGCTCCTGAAAACTCTGCAGAGAACATTTCCTCTGATAACTGCTCTGACCTCTGACATGCACTTCCTGTGCTCTTCTTCTTCTTATGGCTCCTCACAATAATCTTTTTTTGATTGCACTTTTTATTAACTTACTTCCTTCCCTAGGTTTTTACCCCATTGATGTGATATGTACTATGAGCTCTTACTAGTATGTGTTGTCAGTTGTAGATCTGTAGTTGATGCTTGTATGTTGTTCCTCAAATGTAAGTCGCTTTGGATAAAAGCGTCTGCCACATGAGGAAATGTAAATGTAGAAAAGACACCTTTTGTGCTGTTGTCAGCCACCGTAGCTGTCCTGCGCTCTTTGAAAGGTTAGGGGGCAGTGGTAGACTGGACAGATGTTTGCAATTCACAACCCTCACCACTAGAAGCCACTGATTCTTCCACACTGAACCTTTAAACGTGTAGTTTTCAGCGGCCTCTAGTGGTGAGGTTTCAGATTGCAACCAACCAACACAACACGCTGGAAACTCAGGTAAACTACCAAGCAGTGGGAGTGTCTTATCAGCTGCAGGTTGGACTAATCCATGCTCGTTACATGATAACGGTACATTTTCATTAATATAAAAGTGATTAATTCATTAAAAACAATACTCTTAAATGGATTTTACATCTTAAAAACCCCAAATTCAATGTAATAATCCAATTAATAAACTTCAAACATAGGACAACCCCTTGAATTTGTGACGTTTTATTACAGGAATGATGGAAAACTACCAAAGCAAGACAGAATGAAGTTAACTGGTATCAGATTGGCGTCTTCTGAGAACATGTTAAAAAAACACTCAGGTTGAATTAAAACTGCAGATTTTATTCAGTTTTAGTTAAAAGGAAGCTGAAGAGCTGCAGAAACAGGTTCATCTAAATAAAGAGAGTTCACAGAGAAATCTATCGTACCGACAAGGAAAAAGCCGAAAATACACATCAAAACTAATCTGACTGTTTGAAATGCTAAAAACAGGAGCTCAGGGTTAAACCTCATAGTGCAAATAAAAGATGCTCGTGGAGACAAACTACATTTGGCACCTCGACTCAACTCAGACACGAAAAACTAAAACACAGCAAAGATCTGCTTCTCTGAAGGTGCAGCAGGTTTTCAGTTCTTTCTTGTACTGAAGACTAATCTAACTCCGGGCACCGGATGTGGTCGGTGGTTCTGCAGACGTGGAGCCAACAGGAAGCTCAGACGCTTGTTATCCTGAGACAATCCTGATCGCCCGAACAGCTGATGCTCAGAGTTAGTCCAAGATATTTAAGTTGTGGTTTTAAGAAAGAACAGGCAAACCTGCAAATACTGAAGCTTACTGAAATCAAACGCACGAAATGTTCGAGGCAACGCACAGTTCAAATACACAAACCCGTCTGCGTGGTCCCAGCCGCCAGTTTGAAACGAGACGTGTTCATGTCGTGGGATGGTCGAGACGGGAAAGACGCAAATGATCGGAGTTGAGAGTAAAAGCTGAAAACACTATGTTCATTTAATATTAGTTCAATCACGCCGAACAAAAGGAACCTGATGTCCATGTTTGTTTTTCTTCAGGCACTTCTGTTTTTGTAATGCTGCGTTCGCGTCATTTAAATCACAATTAAGAGCCGCCGGGGGGGGGGGAGCATTCCTGTCACCCTCCGAGTCCAGATATCTTTCTGACGACCACATTAACACCAATTCAATCCATTCGGCTCGTGAGCGTTTGTTTGTATAAATGAACAAACAACAACAAAGGAAGCTAATTTAGTTTGTTAATCTGGTGTAGCTACGAGGTTAGCATCAGGGCTAACCACCTTGGAATAACATGTGAACGCTGGCAGCTCAGAGTAAGTGTTGGTTTCCTGACATTGCATGAATGCAGCTGAAAGTCGGATGTATTGAAGTTTCCCAGTCGTGGGGCCAAGTTGGATGGATGTTGGGAAACGTTTGTGGGAAACTCGTACGTACGGTATCGTGGATTAATGCTGCAGAACAAACGGCCAAATCTTATTATTATTATTATCTTCTGATCCTGTAGGACGTCAGCAGAGTTGGAACAAAACCCTCCTTATTCCAACTTGTTAACAGTGCAATCGACTGCAGTAGCACGCTAACATTTACTGTGTAATGTTTATTATTATTATTATTATTAACTGGACTTGGTGCTAAATAATACAGAAGTGTCCAAACAAACATGGCGCCTCACATCAACCTAGTTTAATTACTCACTGAAGTAATTCAACTTAATTTTCCTTGCTCAGTCTACGATGTGCACGCAGCAGGCGGGTAGGAAAGTCACTGCCACGATGGTAGCATAGCTTATATGTGGACGTTTCCAGTAATTAAAATACCTTTTTCAAACACAGAACACACTTTAATAGACATCTGTGGGCTCCACACATTAAAGTGAGAAATGGCAGCTAGTAGCAGTAGCAATGCTAACCCAGAGGTAGTGAAATATCACCCGAGTCCCAGCGGGCAAGAACAAAGTAATGTTGAACCTACAATACAGCGTACAGAATTCCTCCAGTTTGCCTGCTAAATATAAATACAGGGCTTTGCTGATCGTGCTAGCTAGCTAGCTAGTGAGCGCTATGACGAGGAAGCTAGCAAACGAACCCACCTGTGAATCCGCTAACCAGTTAATTAGCTTAAACTCGCCTGCAAGCAAATTTTTCAGCCGTTTAGTACAAGATTTTGTCTTTTGAGCAGGTAGGCGTGGTCCTAGCTCGGTATTTCATCTTTAGACAGTTGGACCCTGGTTTCAGAACCAGAACAGTAGCTTTAATAATCACCACGTACCGGGCGTTCCTGTTATTTGGATTCATCTGACTGAGACTGCGAATGTTTCAACCTAATTTTGTGTTAATCTCATAAAGAAAAGAAAGAAATTTCACTTTGACAAACCACCTGTGACGGGTTTTATTTCACGTCACGCTCGTGACACCAGCGTTAAGGACGAATGCCGTGTCACGGTTTCAGACTTCACACTAATCCTTCAGGCACACTGAGAAAAGTCCGTCTGGAGATTCGTCTATTTTTAGACCTTGCTCAGGTCGAGTTTGGCGATGTACGGCGAGCGGAAGGAACCCAGGTACAGACTCCCCGCATACTCGTGGACCTCGCTGATGTATGCCGCCACCAGGCCGTTGGGGTCGTGGAAGCTCCGAGTGCAGATGCCGCCGTCATGGAGCTCCGCCACCAGGCTGTACCGAGGGACGAACTTCATCATCACCTCCTGGCTGAAGAGCTGGAGAGCAGTGAGGACAAGAAGGGAGGAGGGAAGGAAAGAGTTATGGAGGGTGATGTGGACACCCGGGAGTCATAACGTCTCAATAAGGACATTTGTCTCTATGTGGACACCCGGGAGTCATAACGTCTCAATAAGGACATTTGTCTCTATGTGGACACCCGGGAGTCATAACGTCTCAATAAGGACATTTGTCTCTATGTGGACACACGGGAGTCATAGCGTCTCAATGAGGATGTTCGTCTCTACGTGGACACACGGGAGTCATAGCGTCTCAATGAGGATGTTCGTCTCTACGTGGACACCAAAGTCATAGCTTCTCAATGAGGACATTCGTCTCTATGTGGACATCCTGGAGTCATAGCGTCTCAATAAGGACATTCGCCTCTATGTGGACACCCGGGAGTCATAGCGTCTCAATAAGGACATTCGTCTCTACGTGGATCCTCTGGAGTCATAGCGTCTCAATGAGGACATTCGTCTCTACGTGGACACACGGGAGTCATAGCGTCTCAATGAGGATGTTCGTCTCTACGTGGACACCCAAGTCATAGCTTCTCAATGAGGACATTCGTCTCTATGTGGACATCCTGGAGTCATAGCGTCTCAATAAGGACATTCGCCTCTACGTGGACACCCGGGAGTCATAGCGTCTCAATAAGGACATTCGTCTCTACGTGGATCCTCTGGAGTCATAGCGTCTCAATGAGGACATTCGTATCTACGTGGACACCCGAGAGTCATAGCGTCTCAATGAGGACATTCGTCTCTACGTGGACACCTGAGAGTCATAGCGTCTCAATGAGGACATTCGTCTCTACGTGGACACCCGTGAGTCATAGCGTCTCGATAAGGACATTCGTCTCTACGTGGACCCCCTGGAGTCATAGCGTCTCAATGAGGACATTCATCTCTACATGGACACCCGTGAGTCATAGCGTCTCGATAAGGACATTCGTCTCTACGTGGACCCCCTGGAGTCATAGCATCTCAGTGAGGACATTCGTCTCTACGTGGACCCCCTGGAGTCATAGCGTCTCAATGAGGACATTTGTCTCTACATGGACACCCAGGGGTTCGTTACGGCCTCTGCAAGCACACCTGCGAATCATTATCATCTCTATAATGTTGTATATGTTCGTCGCCTGAGTGTCGACCTGGAAACCTTCAAGTCGTTATTCTCTGTACAGGGACGCGAGTCGTTACGGTCACTACGTGGACACATGCGCACCGTTATTGTCTGTATAAAGACAACTTGGCGTCCATGGACAATTGTGAGTCACTATACATGCACATATGATCCACACTGATCAGCGTCCTCAACCTCCCTCAACCTTTTTCTTATTTCTGAAAGTTTCCATGAGGTTCCAGAAAGTCCAGCTGGAGGCATGGACCTGATCGCTCTTGAAGACCTTTACCTTGAAGATGAGCTTCTTGATCCAGGGTCTCTGGGACAGGAAGTCCAGCATGGAAAAGCCGGGGTTTGGCCGCACAGCAGACATGGCCACCCAGTAACCTCCACTCGAACTGGGACGGATGTTGTCGGGGAAACCGGGCAGATTGTCCATGAACGTGTCCATCCCACCTTTATTTAGCCCGGCAACATGGACCCTCAACCAGAAAGACACAGTTTACTTATACAAGCTGTACGCTCACTACTTTACACTGTTATACAAGCTGCACGCTCACTACTTTACACTGTTATACAAGCTGCACGCTCACTACTTTACACTGTTATACAAGCTGCACGCTCGCTACTTTACACTGTTATACGAGCTGCACGCTCGCTACTTTACACTGTTATACGAGCTGCACGCTCGCTACTTTACACTGTTATACGAGCTGCACGCTCGCTACTTTACACTGTTATACAAGCTGCACGCTCACTACTTTACACTGTTATACGAGCTGCACGCTCACTACTTTACACTGTTATACAAGCTGCACGCTCACTACTTTACACTGTTATACAAGCTGCACGCTCGCTACTTTACACTGTTATACAAGCTGCACGCTCACTACTTTACACTGTTATACAAGCTGCACGCTCACTACTTTACACTGTTATACAAGCTGTACGCTCACTACTGCTACACAAGCTGCACGCTCACTACTTTACACTGTTATACAAGCTGCACGCTCATAACTGCTACACTGTTATACAAGCTGCACGCTCACTACTGCAACACAAGCTGTACTCTCGCTACTTTACACTGTTATACAAGCTGCACGCTCACTACTGCTACACAAGCTGCACGCTCACTACTTTACACTGTTATACAAGCTGCACGCTCATAACTGCTACACTGTTATACAAGCTGCACGCTCACTACTGCTACACAAGCTGCACGCTCACTACTTTACACTGTTATACAAGCTGTACGCTCACTACTTTACACTGTTATACAAGCTGCACGCTCACTACTTTACACTGTTATACAAGCTGCACGCTCACTACTGCTACACAAGCTGCACGCTCAGTGCTTTACACTGTTATACAAGCTGTACGCTCAGTGCTTTACATTGTAGCAAAGCGTCATTTCTTCAGTGATATAATCAGATATAATCACATATTTACTAAAATGTGAGGGGTGGACTCACTTCGGGAGATACTGTACACGCAGTAGAACAAACAAATACATTAATAAGACACATATCATTTCACAGCTGTAATAATATAACATGTGTCTTCATAGGTGAATTTATTTTATTGGTTATTGGTTTTATTGATCTGTTGTTGATTAATTAACAACAGATCTTGTATAGTATCAATCGTTGTAATTGATTGATTGTTGACAAATACTGTACTTAAATAAATTTTAAACAACTACATTAGAGTGCGCTATAAACTATTTATTACATGTTTACACACTGAAAGCAGATGCTAAAGAGGTCGGGGTTAAAATGTGTTTTAGCAGTTGTTATATCTTTTTTACATGGACAGAATTACAGGGTGACTTCAGCTGCAGTCTGTCTCCATCACAGCAGGAAGGACGAAAATAAACCAACAGGTCGACAACACCTCCCACTGCAACCACACGTACACAGCGGCAGCTTGTTCCCATGGCAACAGAGAGTGCGACCATCACGCACATCCTCAACCATCACAGAGCGTTTCAAAATCTTCGTCGTCTGAGATACACAGAGAATCTGTTCAATCAATATTAATGATTTTTACTCAGGTGTTCTTATGTTCCCTGTTAATCAGCTCGTATTGGATCCTTTTCTTTTTAATTTCATTTATTTATTTTTATTTACTGAAGCACTTTAGAAAGAACTTTTTTTTTCTTTAACTGATTTTAATATTTTAGATGTACTGAATTTAAAATTTAAAAGCTTTTTCTCATGGAACTTTTTATTTAATTGATTATTTTAGTTTAGTTTGTGAAGCTGTTTGTGGTGGAACTTCACACGGCGGATCAGAAACCTGGATCAGGTGTGTTTCCATCAGCGTTGTCCAGCTAACGTTCAGGTTTCTAAAGGATCAGATGTCCACGTGTGCAAACACACGACCGGGAAACCACTCTAACTGATATCTCACTGGTTTGACGGCTGTTTGAAATCCTGCACCGAGACTCACAGGCGGCGCATTAAGGAAAGGAAGGTTTCTTTAGCGCTCGGCTCGAGTCTGAACTCGGCCTGTTTGATAGACAGGCTAACAAAAGACTCGAGCTGACAGTCGCGGAGGCTCAGGTGAGGCGGGTGTGGTACCTGCGTATCCGGGCCATGGTGGTCTCGGCCACCAGCACCGACTCCTCGTCAGGAAGCAGGTGGATCCCGTTTGGAAACCGCAGGTTGTCCATCACCACCGTCAGCTCCCGGCTCTCTGTGTCGTACTCCAACACTCTGAGACAACAGGACAGGTGTGCTTTTATTGTGAAACACAGAAGCGTACGGATCTCAGTCATTACACACACACTGTAATGAAGTGATTAACACATTTATTTGCAATGCGCCGTACCGGCCGTCAGCGGTGGCCTCCATGATCAGGTGCATGTAGTCTCTGCGCTGCCACCTGCTGCTGGAGTCGGTGAAGTACAACTTCTTCCCGTCCTGCGTCACCGCCACGTCGTTGATGAACGACAGCTTCCTGCCGGCGACCACCTGGCCCCCCGACACCAACCGGGTGGCCTCACCTGCAGAGGGCGTGAAGGTGGGACTGTGAGGCGTTGGCCCACGAGGAACTAACTCCAACAGCTCAGGTGTGAATGTTAACGTGCGGTTTGAGGTTACGCTCTCCGTTTTTCATCAGTTTAAACACGCCTCACCTCTGACAGGGATTTAGAAGGTCCATCAGCCGGATCGACCGGACCAGGCGCCGCGCCGGGTGCAGTGATCGCTCAGAGGCGGGACAGGAGCCATGCGGGCCCAGCTTGGACTTAAGGCTGCTGCTAAAGGTCCGGTGTGGACCAAAGGGGACTCGTGTTGAGCAAGAAACAGAAATAAACGTGGTGGACTTAAAGGACAGTGCTGTAGCAGTTAGCGCCTGATGCTAAGCTATTTTTGAGATTATGAAAACGTGTTCATCAGGCTGAGAGGTTCACGTCTCTATAAAAACTTTACAGACGTTACGGTTTGATAAAGATTAGATGAAAAACAGAAGATTCCTCGACACCAGTGGCCCGTGGTCAGAATAATTTCTAATAAATACCATCTGGTTTTGCGTGACACGCTGCCGTGTGAGTTCCCTCCTGCGCGGGACGCTCTGCCGTGTGAGTTCCCTCCTGCGCGGGACGCTCTGCCGTGTGAGTTCCCTCCTGCGCGGGACGCTCTGCCGTGTGAGTTCCCTCCTGCTGATGTCCTGTTTAGTTAAACAGTAACAGATTCTGGAGACTCCCAAACAGCGAGATCAGTCTCTCTGCCAATGAGTTGTGCTGCGTCACGTACAAAAAGTTCAAGACAGTTCAGCTTTGGCGGCGGGCGGGCGTGTGCTGAGGCGAGCTCTTCCCCTCCCTCTAACAGGGACACTGGCTGCTGAACACAGACTGTTTCTGCTGAGACCTGAAAACAGATTCGTATCTGTTGACCTGCTGCTCAGCAGGAGCCTGTTTAGGGCCGTATTACAGAAACTTCCTGTCCTAACTGCGTGGTGACCACAGTTCCTCAGTCAGAGTTCCTTTCCTACGTCAGCAGCAGCCTTTATTATTTTATCATTCTTTTTACCTTCAGTGTTAACTTTCCCGAGCAGAGTTGGGTCGGATCCAAAACAAAGAACGGCTGAACAAACATCACCTGCTGACGGCGTCCAGCTCACCTGTGGTGGGGTTCACCTCGAACAGACCCAGGTAAGCGTCGGCAACGAACAGAGTCCCGTTGGGTCCGACTCTGATCCCCAGCGGCCTCCCGCAGCTGGGCTCCTCATCTCTGGATCCTGCAGGACACACGGCCAGAAAACCTGGATCAGCTACCGTGAGGTTCAGTTCAGGACGGATCGCGGTTAGGTAAAGGTAAAGCGACTCCAAAACAAGCTCGGCCCGCTCAGAACATGAACCCTAACCAGCTGCTTGGAGTCCGGAGGAGCGTGTGGAGGCGGGGCGGGCTGAGCAGGGTTCCTCTGTACTAGGTACTTGTACTTCTACTCATCTCAGATACTTGTACTGTACCACATTTACCAGCTTACAGCTTCAGTTACTTTACAGACTCACATTTTTCCACATGCAGAGTTTAGAAAGTCTGATCACTTCTAAATGAAACTTGTTGACGTCAGTTCACGTGAAAACATTTGGTGGATCACAGAACAACGTTTCTCAGCTGCTACATTCTGCATGTATTTCTTGTGCAGCTTCTCCTCTGAATGTTCGTAATGACTGGGAGGTTTGTTAGTGTCAGAATCTTTACAAGCCAAAGAAGAAAAAGTGAACGAGCTGCAGCAGCAACATCCTGCTTTACGTTCATGAGGAGGAAGAGGAATAACAGTACAGCAGTGCTTTGATGCTCTCCTCAGACACAGAGTGGTGTTATAAATACAGCTGGTGGTGAAATGAGAGCAGCTGTCTGCAGGAGCTCTGTGAGGCAGTTTGATGTCCACACTTTAATCTCTGAGCTCCTCTGTGTGTTGAAACAAGCAGATGATGAAACCGAGTCAGGCCTCAACATGTCGCTGCTTCTAACTGACACTTTGTTCCCTCGCTGGTTGAGAAACGTGTTAAAACTCCAGAGTGAAGCAACCAGAGACAAACAGAGAGGAAGCAAAGGTCAGCAGAGACCGTCTCACTGCTCACGGTGTTCAAACTGAGGGTCACTCCACAGAACGGACCCGGGCGCCCACAGCAGACGCAGGGCCGGTTCACACTGAGCGGTGAATCATTTATGCTGCAGAGTGCCGCCACACTCGCTTCAACTAAACTCTAATCAGTTTAAACTGAAGCTAAACTAACTCCGGTAAACTGAAACCTTTCAGTCAGTCTACATTACATAAAGGTTTAAACTAGACTAGACTTCACTGCACTCAGCCTTGAACCCTGAACCTTAAACTGGTCCTCAGGCTGTCCACGCTGAAGCTGAATCCAGCGAGTCCATTCGCTCCAGGAGGCGCAGAACGTTTGTCGCCCCGTGGTCGGTCTGGATTCTGCTGTGACAGCGTTTACCTGCCGGAGGAGCTCAAAGCAAACTGCTTTTATTAAATCAGCTTCATATTTATATAAACCGGACAGACCTGGACGATGAAGCGAGGAGGTTGAACTACCTGCTGAGTTCAGGAAACGTGTAAGTTTATTCCAGCTGTCGCTGTACTTTACTGTGAGCATGTTAGCGTCGCCCTGATGGATCCATTTTAACAGCTGTCGTCCTGCTGACTCGGCATCAGTTGGATCCCAGCAGGATGTTTCCTTTGGCTTCATCCAGCTGGAGTAACCGCAGGCCGGGAACGCTCGCCAGCTGTCCGGCAGTTTGAAAGTCGCGTTGCGTGTGAACGCAGCTTTAGTCTTTCTTACCACATGGCGGTTCTCCAAGTCTCGTCACCGTGTGAATTCTGCGACCAGTCAGCTTCACGATCTTCCCGTCAGCTGTTCCGGCGAACAAAACATCTGCAGACAGAAGAGAAAAACATCCGTCAGCTGTCAGGTCCTCCTCATCCAACTTTATTTCACAAGCACATCTAGGAACCACCAGGCTGCCCTCAATCCACAGATCAGCAGTGTAGGCTGGAGCTCGTCCACGAAAGGCTTTAAAAACAACAGAAGCTTAAAATCAATCCTAGAATGAACTGGGAGCCAGTGAAGGGAGGCAAGAACCGCTTATGAGTCCCAGTAAGGAGACGAGCGGCAGCTGTTGGCGGCCCGGCCAACGCCTACATACAGAGCAGAGCGATCAAACGAGAAAAGAAGTGGCCCGAGAATCGAACCCTGGGGAACTCCACACGGGGGACCCAGAAGGTGAAACAGAGCTACCAACACCTCCCCCTCATGTTCTTTGTGACCTCGTGTAGGTCTTGAAATCTAAATGTGGAAACTGGACTTTCAGCTCCACGTGGACCCCTTTCACAGGGAGGTCAGCGTGACCCAGTCCGGAGCAGGACCATGACCTCTGACCTTAGTGATTGCAAACCGAGGGCGTCTGATGAAACGGGCTGGAGTGTTTCTTTTCCGCCTGTCGCTCCTTTCACATGTTAAACAAAACCAGACTAAAGGTCACACTGACCTCCGATGTTGACGATGGACTCTGGTCCGAGGATCTGGTCCTCAAACAGTCTCTCGGCCTCTCGCAGCTTCAGGTTTGGCTCCCAGCAGCCCTTCATCGCCGGGGGCTCCTTCAGACTGCACGATACAAAACACCCAGCAGGAAACTCATGAGAGACGTTGGGAAGGAAACTGGACTTTACTCATTTAGTAAAAATACATCTGTTTTAAAAAGTCTCTAAATCTTTTTTTCTTTGAGACGTTACTCGTTTTTTAATCAAAATAATGAAAATTAAAAATCACAATCCTGCTTCTTACTCTCACGACGTTTGTTTTCTCTTAACATATCTGACTTTACTTTAAAAACTTTATCCTCAAACTGAAACAAGTTGATTTGTGTTTGAGAAACCTGACTTCAATCCTGCTGACCCTGTTGTTCAGGACTGGGGCTGGGCACTGAGAACCGGTTCCAAGCTGGAACCGCTAGAAGCTTCCAGGAAGCGTGGAGTCGTTTGGACTAAAAAAGAGGACGCAGCAGCAGAATGCAGCATAAGGAGGTTTGACGAAGCGTCTCCTTCAACCCGAACCAGAACCGAGGGCCCATAAGGACCAGATCCATGAGTTTAATCTGAATCTATGAAATCTAAACAATAAACAACCATCCTTTAACTGGAAACCTGCAGCAGCTGTCGACCTGCAGAGGCCGAAGCTTCTCTCTTTGCATGCATAAGGATTCATGTCATGTGACAGAGGCTGCGTCATGTGACCTGCTGTCATTTGGTCTCGGTCTGTGGTTTGTCGTCCCTTCAGTCGGTCTCTTGGTGTCTCCGTAGCTGCTTTAAAGGTTGTTTGTTCAGGACTGAGAATCCTGAATAACTCACACCGACGCTTCCTTTAGTTGGGAATTGTTAGCTGGAAATGTGGGAACGTGTTTGTTGTTGTGAGTTTGGGTTCTAACGTTACAGGGATCTGAGTTTCTCAGCTGATCCTGGTCCCGGACGAAACGATGGACTAACCTGAGGAACACCAGAACAACAGAATGTGAAGCTGCGGCTCACCTTTAAACTGCGCACACTAATCATCTCTTAATCATCCTGAACATCTTTTGCATTTTAATTAGTAGTGTTATCTACATGTATATTTCTATATTTATGTTCACGTGTTCTCTACAGGCAAACTGCTCGAATGTGAAAATGAATATTTCAATAAACCCGTTCCCTCCAGGAGGCCTTGGACTGTAAATAAGAATCTGCTGTTGGTAAAATACAGGTTTCATTTCCATTAATAATAATAAAAGATGTTGAATAAGAAACAGGTGAGCGAGCGGCTGGCTCACCTGAAGGCTTCGGGGTGGATGGGAGACTCCAGGATGAGGACGATGACCAGGAGAGGAAGAAGCACGAAGCCGCCCAGAGTCAGCAGAGTCACCTGGAACACCTTCCCGCTGTAGGTTCTGCAGGAGGAACCAACCGCAGGGGACACGGTCAAGACCTGCAGCCGTTCTCAGGGTTCTACCCTCGGCCCTCTCATCTTTCACTATTCACAGTCTAAGCCCCGCCCCTCCCGCCCCATGTGGCCATATTTCAGAAAAAGCATGGAGTACAGAGCGCCTAAGCCCCGCCCCTTCCAGTGGACCACCATGGGCCTTACTTTGGACAAAATATGTACGGTAATCAACGGCAAGAGACAACTAATGTTTAGATCCCGTTTGAATCACACACACGATGTTTGTTAATTTAAAACATTTCAAAGTCAAGAAAGTCGCAGTTTGATGTAAAACTGTTGAAGAGTAAGACTGAAAATACAGAAATACAAAGAGCACAAACCCAAAAGTCCCGTATGTGACGTCGTAACTGTTTCTGTCAATGACTGAAGCTAAAGTCACTGAAGCTAATCAAGCTAACGTTACTGAGGCTAATGTCACAGAAGCTAACGTTACTGAAGCTAATGAAGCTAACGTTACTGAAGCTAATGAAGCTAATGTTACTGAAAGTACTGAAGCTACTGAAGCTGACGTTACTGAAGCTAATGTTACTGAAAGTACTGAAGCTACTGAAGCTAACGTTACTGAAAGTACTGAAGCTACTGAAGCTAACGTTACTGAAGCTAATGTTACTGAAAGTACTGAAGCTACTGAAGCTAACGTTACTGAAGCTAATGTTACTGAAAGTACTGAAGCTAACGTTACTGAAGCTAATGTTACTGAAAGTACTGAAGCTGACGTTACTGAAGCTAATGTTACTGAAAGTACTGAAGCTACTGAAGCTAACGTTACTGAAGCTAATGTTACTGAAAGTACTGAAGCTACTGAAGCTAACGTTACTGAAGCTAATGTTACTGAAAGTACTGAAGCTGACGTTACTGAAGCTAATGTTACTGAAAGTACTGAAGCTACTGAAGCTAACGTTACTGAAGCTAATGTTACTGAAAGTACTGAAGCTTACGTTACTGAAACTACTGAAGCTAACGTTACTGAAGCTAATGTTACTGAAAGTACTGAAGCTGACGTTACTGAAGCTAATGAAGCTAACGTTACTGAAGCAAATGTCACTGAAGCTAATGTTACTGAAAGTACTGAAGCTACTGAAGCTAACGTTACTGAAGCTAATGTTACTGAAAGTACTGAAGCTGACGTTACTGAAGCTAATGAAGCTAACGTTACTGAAGCTAATGTCACAGAAGCTAATGTTACTGAAGCTATTGAAGCTAACGTTACTGAAAGTACTGAAGCTAATGTTACTGAAAGTACTGAAAGTACTGAAGCTGACGTTACTGAAGCAAATGTCACTGAAGCTAATGTTACTGAAAGTACTGAAGCTAATGTTACTGAAAGTACTGAAGCTAATGTTACTGAAAGTACTGAAGCTAATGTTACTGAAAGTACTGAAAGTACTGAAGCTGACGTTACTGAAGCAAATGTCACTGAAGCTAATGTTACTGAAAGTACTGAAGCTAATGTTACTGAAAGTACTGAAGCTAATGTTACTGAAAGTACTGAAGCTACTGAAGCTAACGTTACTGAAAGTACTGAAGCTACTGAAGCTGACGTTACTGAAGCTAATGTCACTGAAAGTACTGAAGCTGACGTTACTGAAGCTAATGTTACTGAAAGTACTGAAGCTACTGAAGCTAACGTTACTGAAGCTAATGTCACTGAAAGTACTGAAGCTGACGTTACTGAAGCAAATGTCACTGAAGCTAATGTTACTGAAAGTACTGAAGCTAATGTCACTGAAGCTAATGTTACTGAAAGTACTGAAGCTGACGTTACTGAAGCTAGGCTGTTTCTCAATCACGAGTTCACCAAGTTCGGCTCGGTAGCACAAACTCCCAGGAACGGGAGCACGCAGTCCGTCATTCAGCAATTGGAACAGCAGTGGACTCGATGACGGCCGGACCTGTTAGCGGGCGGGACCTCACATCTCCGAGAACGTCGTATCAATTTTTCAAATCCGTCTTGAGAAATCGTTACTGAAGCTACTGAAGCTAACTTCACTGAAGCTAACGTTACTCAAGCTACTGAAGCTAACTTCACTGAAGCTAACGTTACTCAAGCTACTGAAGCTAACTTCACTGAAGCTAAAGTTACTGAAGCCAACATCAAAGAAGTGACATGTGAGGATGATGTGATAAAAGGACCGACAGTCGTTGGATTAAACTCATCAGGTGAAATATATTTCTGCGTGGAACATAGCTACGTTATCTAGCTAGTAGCAAGAAAGCAATGAACGTTAGCTTAGCATTACCGCGCTAACATGTTGGTGAAGTATATTGTGCAAGATGAGAGATGTAGTTCAAAACTACATGTAACTACTGTTTTACAACAAACTACAACTTTCTTGACAGACAAAATTATTTTTTAAACTGACAAACATCATGTGTGATTCAGAGCTCAGTTCAAACAGGATCAAAAAATAAATAGTCTGTCGCTGTTGACTACCGTACATATTTCTTCTGAAAAAAGGTCCCATGGGCAGGAAGTGGAAGCGACTTAGGCTCTGTATGTGGTCAGGACCCACCAACCTGAGTTTTGTCCCCCCTAAACTATAATTAAAAACACGCAGTGTATTGTAAATAATATAATGATATATCTGTGGATAAGACACATGTCTTTGGTGTGAGAGACCTGGGTTCGAATCCACTGTGAGACACCACTGTGTCCCTGAGCAGGACACTTAACCCCTCGTTGCTCCAGAGGCGTGCGACCTCTGATATATATAGCAGCTGTAAGTCACTTTAGATAAAAAGCGTCAGCTAAATGAATAAATGCGTAAGTGTAAAAACACATGTGCTTTAAGTTCAGAAACATGTTGACTCCGCCCTCCTCACAGTGGTTTGGTCCACTTTTATTGTTCCCCCTTATGTCTATGGCCCCCCCAACGGTTTTTGTTATTTACGGCCATGGCAGTGATATAATAATGATTATTAACGATCAGGTTTACAATCAAGTGTTTCTTTCTGTCACGGTCAGATCAATAATACATTCATTTACACTTTAATAAATGATCTCACGTGAATAACATGAAATGAAAACATGTGACTGCAGCTACTGAGCTCTGCTAAGCTACCTTTATGCTAAGCTAGCAGCTGTTTTTCCTGGCTAACACTAGCGCTAGTTTAAGCTAAGCTAGCCCTCTTACTTCCTCCAGATGAATTATTGATACATCAGCTGTCAATCACTCCACTGATTAATGACGTCAGCAGATCGATACCCTGACCCCCCTTCAGCTGATGTACCTCCTGATCAGGCAGCTGCTGCCTCAGCTCAGGTGTTTGTGCTGTGCCGGTCCAGGTTCCGAGTCTTACCCGGATCCCTTGTATCGGTTCTCCGGCAGCTCGTCCGTGATGACCTGCGGTCTGTGGACCCGCCGGAACCGGAGCCCCTCCGTCTCATTCATGCTGGACTCGGACGCTGAACGCGGATCGGATCGGATCAGTTGTTGGTCCGGAGCTGGAACGGCTCGCTGTGGTGGTTTGACCCGGGTTACAGGGGGAGTGAACCGGGACGGAAGAGCCACAGCCTACTGACGACGGCTTCCGGTCTGACACTTCACAATAAAACACCACCGCCTCGTCATCCGTTTCGGATTTTCAAAGTAAAAAAAACTAAACAGCTTGAAGAGAAAACTTAAAAATATCCAATATACACATATAAAAATACTAAGGAAAATCTAAAAGTACAAAACCAGTAACATTTAATAAGCGATTACTAAAATTATAGAAAGCAAAACAAACAAATTCTTAAACTAATATAGAAACATAATAAATACAAAAATAAATATTCCATCAGAAGGAAGCAAATATTAAAAATATGACTTACAGAGGTCACACACATTCACAGATCTGCTTCATTTTAAACATTAAATCCTTTTGTATGTGTGTTAAAGGTTCAGGGAGGAAGAAGCGCTGTACACATGATTTATTCATAATTTACTTTCCATGCTGGATATGAACTCATGTACGTTTTCTTTTTGGGGTAAATATATGAAACAAACTGTAGCAGTGTGTTATTAAAGGACAAGATTATGATTATTAATGAGCAGTGGAGAACGGGCAGGATGAAATTACTTTTCAGACATGTTCATTTATTTTTTACCGTTTTCATTCACTCATTCATCTACTCATTAGGTGCTGCAGCTGTTTATTTTCCTGTAAGAAAAGAAAAAACACAACAAACAATGAATTTATTTCTTTCTGTTTTTACAGACTTCTGATCAGTTAGTTGACTGGAGGAATGAACCGGGACAGGAATGAACCGGGACAGGAAGTCCCCGCTGCCTCTCACAAGATTTAAACTCCTACAAAATAAAAGTTATAACTTAAAGTTTGTCTCAAAGGAAACGTTTCCAGGACGATGTGGACCGAAGGAACTCCGCTGCTTCCCCGCTGACTGACTCAAACAGAGCCCGGCTAATAAATACAGTCAGGTCTGTCCGGGGGCCAGTTGAAGTTCTGGTCCGACCCACCAGAGGACCCACAGCTCGGAGGGTTTCCTCCCTCTTCTTCTGCCGGACCTTCAGAACCGGCTGACTTTTGATTAAATCATTAACTCGTTCAAACCAAACCAACCTAACACGAGAACTGTTCTCAGAACCCGGACCCGGACTCACGTCAGCTCTGATCCGCGTGGGACACCTTGTCCCGCGCGTCCTGTTCCCGGCGTGCCGGCGGAGGCGCACCTGTGCTGGCGCAGGCTGCGGGTGGAGGAGAAGCGGCGGCTGCAGGCGGAGCAGCTGAAGGCCTTGTGTCCCGTGTGCACCTGCAGGTGAGTCTTCAGGTTGCTGTTCTGGCTGAACTTCCTCCCGCAGACGCCGCACTCAAACGGCTTCTCTCCGCTGTGGACGCGTTTGTGTCTGACGAGGTTCTGCGACACGCTGAAGCTCTTCCCGCAGACCTCGCACACGTACGGCTTCTCGCCGCTGTGCGTGCGCTCGTGCAGCTTGGCGCTCGCCTGCGTGGAGAAGGTCTTCTGACACCGAGCGCAGCTGAAGGGCTTCCCCTCCGAGTGGCTGCGGCGGTGCATCTTCAGGTAGCTCTGCGAGCTGTAGCCGCGCCCGCACACGTCGCGGGAGAACGGCTTGGCGCCGGCGTGCAGCCGCAGGTGAGTCTTCAGGACCTGGGCGCTGGTGAAGCTCTTCCCGCACTCCTCGCAGGTGTGCGCCCTCTGCCCGCCGTGGGCCAGCCGGTGGCGCTTCAGCGACGCGGACGAGGAGAAGTTTTTTCCGCACTCGCTGCAGCCGTGCGGTTTGATGCCGGCGTGGCTGCGCTCGTGCACCTGCAGGGCGCTGCGCTGCCTGAAGCCCTTCCCGCAGGCGTTGCAGATGAACGCCCACTCGCCGCTGTGCACGGTGCGGTGCACCTTCAGGTGTGCGGCCTGCGTGAAGCCGCGGCCGCACACGTCGCAGCTGAACGCGCGGCGGCCGGAGTGGACGAGCCGGTGGCGGCGCAGGTTGGCCGACACGCTGAAGCTCTTCCCGCAGGTGTCGCAGCTGAACGCCTTCTCGCCGGTGTGGACGCGGCGGTGGACCGTCAGGCTGCTCCTGCTGGAGAAGCTGTTCCCGCACTGCTCGCAGGTGTGCGGCCGCTCGCCCGTGTGCGTCCTCAGGTGAGCTCTGAGGCCGCTCTGCTGGCTGAACGCCTTCCTGCAGACGCTGCAGGTGAACGGGCGCAGCCCTCGGTGGACGGTCAGCTGGTGGACGTGGACGCTGCGGCGCGTGGTGAAGCCTTTCTGACAGGTGGGGCATTTGAAGGGTTTGTCCTGCAGGTGGACCCTCTGGTGTGCGGACAGGTAGCTGCGTCTGCCGAACTCCTTCCCGCACTCCGCGCACCTGAACTTCTCCTCTCGTCTCCGGCAGGTCAGTCTGTGCTCTCGGAGGCAGCACCTCGCCGCCAGCGTCTCGCCGCAGGCCGAACACGCGTGCGTCCGGCCAGACGTCTGGTGCGTCCGGAGGTGGCTGCGGGTGCCGAACACCTTCCCGCAGTGAGCGCAGCTGCGCGGCCGCCGCTCGCCGTGCACGGTGAGCAGGCGGACTCTGACGCTGCCGCTCAGGTCGGTCCGTCCGGAGAAGCTGCTGCAGCTGAAGGTCGGGCTGCCGTCCGCCGGAGGAGTCCGCTCCGATTGGCCGGTTTCAGCTGTAGGAGCGTCTCCTTCAGGGGGGGCGGAGTCCCGCTGCCGTCCTCTCAGCTGCTCCTCCAGCAGCCTCCTGAGCTCCTGCAGCAGAGCCTCACAGAGCGTCCTGAGTCCGGCCAGCAGCTGCTCCGGATCAGGCTGACAGAGGAGACACAGACGTAAATGAACCGCTGGCAGGAACAACGTTAAAATACTGCGGCGTCCGGCCGAGAGACGATAATAAGTTTCATCATTCTGGAAAGTTCTCAGGATCAGATGTTTATCAGCGCAGGTTAAACTTTCTGCTCAGAACAAACAGAGGATCAGTAAACTGATCTGAAGCAGGACCTTCAGGACCAGGTCTGTTTCATTCTCAGAGAAACATTAAGTGCTGATTCGTTCATGATTCAAATGAATTAAATCAAACATCATTCAGCAGTGAGGCAGAATAAGGCAGTGAGAAGGTGAAACTAGTTCTAAACTGTAGTCCTGCAGACCCCCCTCTGAGTCTCTCACAGGTCTGTAGTCCTGCAGACCCCCCTCTGAGTCTCTCACAGGTCTGTAGTCCTGCAGACCCCCCTCTGAGTCTCTGACGGGTCTGTAGTCCTGCAGAGTCTAAACATTAATAAATAAATAAAGGAGCAGCTGACCTCTGAGCCTCCTGCAGACCCCCCTCTGAGTCTCTGACAGGTCTGTAGTCCTGCAGACCCCCCTCTGAGTCTCTGACAGGTCTGTAGTCCTGCAGACCCTCCTCTGAGTCTCTGACAGGTCTGTAGTCCTGCAGACCCCCTCTGAGTCTCTGACAGGTCTGTAGTCCTGCAGACCCCCCTCTGAGTCTCTCACAGGTCTCTGTCTGTAGTCCTGCAGACCCTCCTCTGAGTCTCTCACAGGTCTCTGTCTGTAGTCCTGCAGACCCCCTCTGAGTCTCTCACAGGTCTGTAGTCCTGCAGACCCTCCTCTGAGTCTCTCACAGGTCTCTGTCTGTAGTCCTGCAGACCCCCCTCTGAGTCTCTCACAGGTCTGTAGTCCTGCAGAGTCTAAACATTAATAAATAAATAAAGGAGCAGCTGACCTCTGAGCCTCCTGCAGACCCCCCTCTGAGTCTCTGACGGGTCTGTAGTCCTGCAGACCCCCCTCTGAGTCTCTGACAGGTCTCTGTCTGTAGTCCTGCAGACCCCCCTCTGAGTCTCTGACAGGTCTCTGTCTGTAGTCCTGCAGACCCCCCTCTGAGTCTCTGACAGGTCTCTGTCTGTAGTCCTGCAGACCCCCCTCTGAGTCTCTGACAGGTCTCTGTCTGTAGTCCTGCAGAGTCTAAACATTAATAAATAAATAAAGGAGCAGCTGACCTCTGAGCCTCCTGCAGACCCCCCTCTGAGTCTCTGACAGGTCTGTAGTCCTGCAGACCCCCCTCTGAGTCTCTGACGGGTCTCCGTCAGCACCTTGTCCTTGAACTCCTCCAACATGGCGGACACCAGCGGCTCCAGGCTGAGCGACATGTTTCCGAGTCCCGCAGAGCTGGAAGCTGGATCTGAACTTCTCACAGCTCCCGCTGTTGTTGTCGCCATGCGGCCATTGCTGCTGCTTTGCGACACATCCTGTTCACTGACGGCCGCTGTTACCACAGCAGCAGCGTGTCGGTCGCCCCCTGCTGTCCGGAAGTGCGAACTACAACAACAGAACGCTTCACAATAAAAGCACGCTGTTCATGATCAACAGAAGATGTTAAAGTTGAGATCAGAGGAAAGAAACGCTTCCTCTGATTAAAGCTCTGAGCCTAAAACTACAACCAAGCAAACGAATCCCTTTAACAGCCATTTATAATCCTCTAGACATTCCTGAGAGCACTTTTCAAATTTATTCATAAAGCACAACAAATACACACTGCAGAGACAGTTCTGCTGTGAAAAGGTGAAATAATGCAGAGATCTGGAGCAGAAAGAAGATTTAACCGACCTGTCAGAGACGCAGAGGAAATCAGCTGCTAAAATCATCAATACATTAAACTGAGTATTTAGTTCCTTTCACGACTTTGATGTTCCAAATCTACCTACAAACTGTCTGTGAAATTCATATATTTTATATAAATAGATAGCAAAAAGCCGAACAAACTAAATAAACATTTGTATTCAACATATAAAAAAAAACAACTTTAACAATAAAAATATGACAAAATAAAAAACATGAATAACAAACAAAAGTAAATGTAAATAAATGCTTTTAAAAGTGGCAGAAAATCTAACAAACAAAATAAAACCCCTAAAGGCAGATTTATGATTTGTGATGTTGGCCTATAAAAATAACCTTTAGCATTTTAAAATAAATGTATTTAAATTCATCTCAATTCAGTTGATGTTCAGGTTGATTTCTAGATTTTATTTCTGAATACAAAACATAAATAAAACATAAATATATATATAGTCCTCTCTGAATGTTCAAGAAGTCTTTTTGTTTGTACAACTGTTTTGACCTTTGTGTTGTTCGAAGCTTTATTAATATTAAAAACAGACAGACAGAGTTCAGGTTCAGTAGTGAGAGTTTATTTCTGCACGTTCAACACACAAGAATCATTAACTGTCAATAAATCAGCTGAAATCAGCTAAATAAATCTGATCTGAAGTCAGAAATCAGACCTGATCTAATTGATCTAAATCTCATTTAATTTAATTAAAACTGGAGTTTAGTCTCTAAAACTAAAACGTGATGAAACCTTTTTAAAAACTTGAAACACACAGAAGCGCTCGACTGCCCTGTGAGGTCGTTCAGATCCAAGATGGCCGCTGCACAGGAACACCTGACAGGTGGAACATGATGTCACCTGAGGACCAATAAATGAGCTGCGTCACGTTCCTGAAAACAAACAACAAACCTGGATCTCACCGGTCTCCTCCACCAGGTGGCTGCTGCAGCAGGTAAATGTGCTTGTGTCCGATTGGTCAGACTCATCAGGTGGGAGGAGCCCACAGAGGCCCCTCCTTCAGTGTTCGTGTGATAAACTTGAGCGCCGGAGGTGAAGTTCAAATGTTTTATGGTGTTTTTACATGAAGCCTGGTGGGGGACTCAGAGGAGCAGGGGATTGTGGGTAACTGCAGCGAGGTGGGAGGAGCTTCTGAGCACAGTGACCTGAGGAATGCCTGAGGGCCTGCTCGGCCCCGCCCACTTCCTGCCCGTGTTTTAAAAAACGGCGGCGACAGCTCAGACAGGAAGTTCCTACTTCTTCTTCTTCTTCTCCTCGTCTCCTCGTCTCTGCTTCCTGTAGAGCTCATGGGCCGCGATGATCTCCTTGACCACGGACGGATCGTCCAGGGTCGACACATCGCCGAGGTCAGCCGTCGTCTCCATAGCAACCTTCCTAAGGATCCGCCTCATAATCTTCCCGGAGCGAGTCTTCGGCAGTCGCCTCACCACCTGAGAGCAGCAACAGGAAATACTTTTACTACTATTCAGTATGTCCAACGCAGCACGCCTAAAGTACCAGGATGTACTGCATGCACTCTGGCAGTTCTGACCCACAATCCTCTGCAGCATGAGGATGAGTTAGAGGGTAGCAGTATACATACTGCATTAGTACGCACTGAAAACAAACAGTATGTGATCTGGAACACAGCACCTGGCTCCTGATTGGCTGACTCGTGTCTTAATATCAGAGTTAAAGGAAGAAGCACCTGGACACAAGCTGACCTCCTCTTTGTGTGTGTATATTTACATCCATACAATCTACAGTTTCACAACTTACATTAATGACTGTGTGATGTCTCACGCCTGGGCCGAGTTCAGCGCCGACAAATCCTAGCAAAACATTTGTTTTAACATATACTGAACTAAATTATAAAGGCAAAACTTTTGTTTTTGCCCCCATTCATCATGAGCTGAACTCAAAGATCTAAGACTTTCTCTATGAACACAAAAGGCCCATTTCTCTCAAATATTGTTCACAAATCTGTGTTAGTGAGCACTTCTCCTTTGCCGAGATAATCTGTCCACCTCACAGCTGTGGCATATCAAGATGCTGATCAGACAGCATGGGGATTGCACAGGTGAGCCTTGGGCTGGCCACAATAAAAAGCCTTAGGCTGGCCACAATAAAAAGCCTTAGGCTGGTCACAACTGTTGGGCTTCTGTAAATATCATAGAGTTCGGTCTAGACCTGCTCTTTTATGAAAAGCGCTGTGAGATAACTGTTGTTGTGATTTGGCGCTATATAAATAAAATTGAAAAATTGAAATTGAATAAAAAGCCTTAGGCTGGTCACAATAAAAAGCCTTAGGCTGGCCACAATAAAAGCCTTAGGCTGGCCACAATAAAAGGCCTTAGGCTGGCCACAATAAAAAGCCTTAGGCTGGCCACAATAAAAAGCCTTAGGCTGGTCACAATAAAAAGCCTTAGGCTGGCCACCGACGGGGAGTAAACATACCTCGAAGCCCGATGCACAGTGTTTCAAGGAAACATGTTGTTCAACCCGGAAACGTAGCAGTACTGGTAGTACTGGTGCAAAACGTGTTAAGACTGAACTAGGCCCTGCTGTTACTGTTCCAGGTGTGTTGTTGCCACAGAAACCGGCTCACCAGGAAGTGCTCCGGGACGGCATATTTGGCAATCTTTGTGGCGACGAGTTCTCTGAGCTGCTGGAGGATGGCGGGGGCGTCGTCACCAAACTCCTCCTTCAAAACCACGAAGGCAAACGGCACTGAGAGCACAGACACACACACACCTGTTAACTTCACATAACCAGCAAAAGTCAAAGTATAAAAAGGAAAGATCATAATCATAAAAACATTTATACTTTTCACAAAGACATCAAGTTTTCATTTGATTCCCACAGGTGGACACTAACGAATTATGATTACTCACATTACTGTAATTGAGTAGTTTTTTTGTGTACTTGTACTTTTTTAAGCCGTTTTTATAATCTGTAATTTTACTTTTACTTAAGTGTGTTTTGTTTGAAGTGACACTGCTAATGTTGGTTGGCACTAGCATCCTGCCAGTAACTAGTTATTTATGCTAACGCTTATGAAGTCCCTTTAAAATGACCACCTGTTTGAATGTAAACAGGGATATGACGTCACATACAGTCCAGTGTTTCCCATTTTCCCAGCCCAGTGCGGAGTCTAATCCCAGTTTCATAATGAAGAAAAACTTCTCATAATAACATAAAGAGGTCTCTAACAACAACATGCCATTGCTTCAGCAAAGGATCTGTCTAACTAATATCTGGCTTTGTGCCCTCGTCAAAAGACTGTGATTTAATTAAATAAGTATAATAAGTAGGCCTATAAATAAGATATAAGTTAAGTTATTTTAGGAGGTTAAGAAGTAACATTTTCTCTGAGTAAGTTTTAAATGAGCTACGTTTTACTTTTACTTCAGAAGATTTTTATAATAGTAACTTTACTTGTACTTAAGTAAAAATTCATCATTGTAACAGTACTTTTACTTAAGTACAATATTTTAGTACTCTTTCCACCTCTGTTTATTTCATCGTTAAATGTTGTTAAGCAGAGAAAGCTGTATAATTAATCTGTTAACTTTCACAGAGATGAAAGGAACTGTGGGCAGCAGGTCTCCTGACAGACCAGCAGGAGGCAGCAAAGTGCTGCGGGTGAAACTAAGAATCTGTTTTTCACTGAACACATTACACTTATATAAACACACCTCTCTCTCTCTCTGTATGTTATTACATATTCATTTTGTGTGTTGTATTCATTTCAAGTTAAGAATCTTTGTAATGAAAAGTAATGTACATTAGCAGAATAATGAAAACATAACAGTAGATAATTAAATACATTTTAATTTAAAAACATTTTAAAAATGACTAAATGATCATAAATATTGATCTATTTATTTTAAAAAACACAATTTTCCAAACTATCAATTCATGCACTAACCTTACTGAAATATTTTCTCTCTTTTCTTCACATATTTAACTCCAGTGAATGAAATTAAACTCATGATCAGCATAAAGACTTTTCTGCACCAGCAGTCCCTCGTTTCTTCTTTCTTCCCGTCTGCAGCTAGCTTCATTAACAAGACCCGGGTCCCCCACTGACACTCCCCCTTGCAAATGATACGAATGTCTCTGCACATGTAAATACTGTTTCATCTCGTGTCGGGCACAGACCCGGCACGTCGCACATATTTGTTGTTGATTGTTGATCTTTGTTGTATGTTTGTCTGCGTGTAGCACCTCATCACCACAGCAAATTCCTCGTATGTGTAAAACACTACTTGGCAATAAATTCCTTCTGATTCTGATTCTGAGTCATCTCTGTACCTTTACTTTGAAAGAGCCACAAAAAAGTCAGTAAAGTTTTATTTTGGTTTCCTCGTCCTGCTGACCTGATGAACGCCTGACCGCCATTTCCCCATTCAGTCCTGTCCAAAAGTTTTAGGCAGGTGTGGAAAACAAGTATCTGCCTTTGGGCCAATCAGTATCTGCCTGTAGTTTTCAGCACTGAGAAGACCGTTCATTCGACCTAATCCCAAACTTCAAAACCTGCAGTTTCACTTGTTGATCGCATTTCAACCTCCATATGGAATTAATGACCATCAGCACCTGTTTGGTTTAACTGTTCAGTCGTACACCTGATGATAGGCCTACAAAGACTTTGTTGACTGATAAATATAATCTATTAACATGTCTTACATGTACACAGCTGCCTCAAACTCTTGCACAGTACTGTATAAACAGTAGAGAGCAGCAGCAGCAGGGCATGCTGGGAGTTCAGTACCTGTGTTCTAGCTCTCACCTTCTCCCTTGATGTCATGCAGGACTCCGATCACAGCCGTCTCTGGAACAGCTGGATGTTCGTCCTGCAGAACGACACAAAGACCAGCTAATGCTCAGGGTCATGTTCTGTGTTGTCACTTTATGTTTCTGCATCTGTGGCGTCTCACCAGAACGTCCTCGATCTCTGCCGTCCCGAGACGGTGACCGCTCACGTTGATGACGTCGTCCATCCGGCCGGTTATCTGGTAGTAGCCGTCCTCTGACCGGTGCGCTCCGTCTCCAGTGAAGTAACAACCTGGAAGAAACACACCTAACTAACAGGCCGGGATCATGAACCGAAGAGCTGCAGTGCGTTTTGATTTTCACCCACCAGGATACGGTTTGAAATACGCGTCGACGAATCTCTGGTGGTCTCCGTAGATGGTGCGAGCCATCCCAGGCCACGGCTGGCTGATGCACAGAGCGCCGCTGACGGAGTTACCGGAGAGGGGTTCACCCTGATAACACACAGCAGAACATGCAACATACGGGACAGTTGAAAAGATGCTCACATACTACAGGACATACAGGTGGAAGCTAGCTAAGTACAGGATTAGCATGATATAATCACCTGGGTTCATAGACTGATTAACCTACCTCAAAATTAGCAGTTTAAAATTCAGTTATAACATTAAAAAGCTGTTTGCACATTCATACAGGAGTAACATAACACAGTGATATAATGTAATATTGTGAAATATTAATGTTTTTTACTTCTGATACTTGGATAGCCTATATTTGGCTGATACTAAAACTTACTAAGTAGGGTTTAAAAATGCAGGACTTTATCTTATAACTGAACACATTTATCTTGTGGTATTGCTACTTTAATAAAGACTGAAACTACTCTCATGATCCAAGATAAAATGCAAGCCACAACAGAAGTGGTACAAATTCAATCCTGCACAAACTGTCTATTAAACACATTAGGGCCATCTTCATCAGCGCTTATATTGCCGTTGGTGTTAGTTCTGAGAGGATTGGAGTGAAAGTGGAGGATGAAATGTGAAACTGAAGGAGGCCTAATCTAATCTAATCTACACTCAGTAACCAGTGATGATGAAAACCCTCAAACGCCCGCAGATTACAGGGCAATGGGGAAACTAGCGGATAATTAAGTTGGGGGATCTGCGATCATCCCAACCGAGCCTGAAAGTCTGTTAATCAAAGAAAACAGATGCTGCTGGTCCTGTTTTAATTGAAAGATATAACTGTGAAAGAGAGGGGGAGTGGGGGGGGGGGGGGGGGGGGGGGGGGTGTCATTCGAAGGCTCGTTTTATCTCTTACTGCTAAAGGTCAAGTGGAGTTAACAAGAGGGAGGGATTGATGGGAGATCGGATCTGAAGCTCACTGGAGGAGAGCTCAATAGAAACCACTCACTCTGATAGATCCTCGAAGTCATTTAAATCAATCTTAAAAGACACTCTCAGCAACCGAATCTGCATGTTTTCCCATTTCTATTTCAACATTTCAACATAATTTACAATATTATACAAAGGGAATCAAAACGACAACTAAGACACAAACAACCACAGAGAGACTCCAAATGACAACAAAGAGACTCCAAACGACCACAAAGAGACTCCAGACGACCACAAAGAGACTCCAAACGACCACAAAGAGACTCCAGACGACCACAAAGAGGCTCCAAACGACCACAAAGAGACTCCAAATGACCACAAAGAGGCTCCAAACGACCACAAAGAGACTCCAGACGACAACTAAGACATACTAAACAACCACAGACTCAAACGACCACAAAGAGACTCCAAACGACCACAAAGAGACTCCAAACGACCACAAAGAGACACCAAACGACCACAAAGAGGCTCCAAATGACAACAAAGAGACTCCAGACGACAACTAAGACATAATAAACAACCACAGACTCAAACGACCACAAAGAGACTCCAAACGACCACAAAGAGACACAAAACGACCACAAAGAGACACAAAACGACCACAAAGAGGCTCCAAACGACCAAACGACAACAAAGAGACTCCAAATGACCACAGAGACACAAAACATCCAAAAAGAGGCTCCAAACAACCACAAAGAGGCTCCAAACAACCACAAAGAGACTCCAAACAACCACAAAGAGACTCCAAACGACCACAAAGAGCTCCAAACGACCACAAAGAGACTCCAAACGACCACAAAGAGACTCCAAACGACCACAAAGAGACTCCAAACGACCACAAAGAGGCTCCAAACGACAACAAAGAGACTCCAAATGACAACAAAGAGAATCCAAACGACCACAGAGACACAAAACGACCACAAAGAGGCTCCAAACGACAACAAAGAGACTCCAAATGACAACAAAGAGACTCCAAATGACAACAAAGAGACTCCAAATGACAACAAAGAGACTCCAAATGACCACAGAGACACAAAACATCCAAAAAGAGGCTCCAAACAACCACAAAGAGGCTCCAAACAACCACAAAGAGACTCCAAAACAACCACAAAGAGACTCAAAACGACCACAAAGAGACTCCAAACGACCACAAAGAGACTCCAAACGACCACAAAGAGACTCCAAACGACCACAAAGAGACTCCAAACGACAACAAAGAGACTCCAAATGACAACAAAGAGACTCCAAATGACAACAAAGAGAATCCAAACGACCACAGAGACACAAAACGACCACAAAGAGGCTCCAAACGACAACAAAGAGACTCCAAATGACAACAAAGAGACTCCAAATGACCACAAAGAGACTCCAGACGACCACAAAGAGACATAAAACGTCCAAAAAGAGGCTCCAAACAACCACAAAGAGGCTCCAAACAACCACAAAGAGACTCAAACAACCACAAAGAGACTCCAAATGACAACAAAGAGAATCCAAACGACCACAGAGACACAAAACGACCACAAAGAGGCTCCAAACGACAACAAAGAGACTCCAAATGACAACAAAGAGACTCCAAATGACAACAAAGAGACTCCAAATGACCACAAAGAGACTCCAGACGACCACAAAGAGACATAAAACGTCCAAAAAGAGGCTCCAAACAACCACAAAGAGACACAAAACGACCACAAAGAGGCTCCAAATGACAACAAAGAGACTCCAGACGACAACTAAGACATAATAAACAACCACAGACTCAAACGACCACAAAGAGACTCCAGACGACCACAAAGAGACTCCAAACGACCACAAAGAGACACAAAACGACCACAAAGAGGCTCCAAACAACCAAACGACAACAAAGAGACTCCAAACAACCACAAAGAGACACAAAACATCCAAAAAGAGGCTCCAAACAACCACAAAGAGGCTCCAAACAACCACAAAGAGACTCCAAACAACCACAAAGAGACTCCAAACGACCACAAAGAGGCTCCAAACAACCACAAAGAGACTCCAAACGACCACAAAGAGGCTCCAAACGACCACAAAGAGACTCCAAACGACAACAAAGAGACTCCAAATGACAACAAAGAGACTCCAAATGACAACAAAGAGACTCCAAATGACCACAAAGAGACTCCAAATGACCACAAAGAGACTCCAGACGACCACAAAGAGACATAAAACGACCAAAAAGAGGCTCCAAACAACCACAAAGAGGCTCCAAACAACCACAAAGAGACTCCAAACAACCACAAAGAGGCTCCAAACAACCACAAAGAGACTCCAAACGACCACAAAGAGACTCCAAACGACCACAAAGAGACTCCAAACGACCACAAAGAGACTCCAAACAACCACAAAGAGACTCCAAACAACCACAAAGAGACTCCAAACAACCACAAAGAGACTCCAAACGACCACAAAGAGACTCCAAACGACCACAAAGAGACTCCAAACAACCACAAAGAGACTCCAAACAACCACAAAGAGACTCCAAACAACCACAAAGAGACTCCAAACAACCACAAAGAGGCTCCAAACAACCACAAAGAGACTCCAAACAACCACAAAGAGACTCCAAACGACCACAAAGAGACTCCAAACGACCACAAAGAGGCTCCAAACGACAACAAAGAGACTCCAAATGACAACAAAGAGACTCCAAATGACAACAAAGAGACTCCAAATGACCACAAAGAGACTCCAGACGACCACAAAGAGACTCCAGACGACCACAAAGAGACTCCAGACGACCACAAAGAGACTCCAGACGACCACAAAGAGACTCCAGACGACCACAAAGAGATCCAGACGACCACAAAGAGACTCCAGACGACCACAAAGAGACTCCAAACGACAACTAAGACATACTAAACAACTAAAAAGAGACTCAAAATGACCACAAAGATCCGAACTATGTGTTGGTGAGCTCCAGTCGAGATTACAGTACAGTACAAAACTTCTGTTCCAATAACCAGTGTCAGGAATCCATTTATAGTGTAATAAACTGACTGTACATGTAGTTCACTAACTGAAGTTACTCATGAAGTCTTGTACTAGCTCCCAATTAGACCTTTAAAAATGTTCATCAGGTTCCCTCTTCACGAGCTCAAAGCTGGTTTCCAGGAAGCAGTCAAAGAACTAAACAGCTGTTTCCTGTTTAGTATTGACAGGGTTGTATTGTGGTTTTCAGGTCACCTTCTGTCCCATGAGAACCGGCTGGATGCCAAAGAACGGCCTCATCGCCATCGCTGGGATGATCGGAGCTCCTTCCTCTGCAGGACGAGGGGCGATGCAGACTCCACCCGTCTCTGCAAGGACGAAAGACAAGAAATCTGATTTCATATCAGAGAAGGGGGGAGAATTCCTCCAGCCAGAGGGACTCTTTGATGATGCATTAGATAAATATTTATCCAGGCTTTAACATAGGATGAAATATATAGATTTACTGCGTGGTGGTTGGATCACTGTTAGTGAGAAGGTAACTGCTCCAACCGACACTTCCTTGTTCCTAACTCACATGTGGCCGAGCTAACCAATCAGAAGCTAGGAGGAGCTGCACTGAGGTGAATGTGAGGAGGTAGATTCAGCAGAGTCAACGGTTTTAATGTCGCTGATGAAAATATTGAAATATCTAAACAATAAACTGTATAAACATGGTAAACACATACAGTAATTTAACTGAATGATGAATATATACAGTGAGGAAAATAAGTATTTGAACACGCTGCTATTTTGCAAGTTCTCCCACTTAGAAATCATGGAGGGGTCTGAAATTGTCATCGTAGGTGCATGTCCACTGTGAGAGACATAATCTAAAAAAAAAAATCCAGAAATCACAATGTATGATTTTTTAACTATTTATTTGTATGATACAGCTGCAAATAAGTATTTGAACACCTGAGAAAATCAATGTTAATATTTGGTACAGTAGCCTTTGTTTGGTCAAACGTTTCCTGTAGTTTTTCAGCAGGTTTGCACTGCAGGAGGGATTTTGGCCCACTCCTCCACACAGATCTTCTCTAGATCAGTCAGGTTTCTGGGCTGTCGCTGAGAAACACGGAGTTTGAGCTCCCTCCAAAGATTCTCTATTGGGTTTAGGTCTGGAGACTGGCTAGGCCACGCCAGAACCTTGATATGCTTCTTACAGAGCCACTCCTTGGTTATCCTGGCTGTGTGCTTCGGGTCATTGTCATGTTGGAAGACCCGGCCTCGACCCATCTTCAATGCTCTAACTGAGGGAAAATCTGGCAATACATGGCCCCGGTCCTCCTCTCCTTAATACAGTGCAGTCGCCCTGTCCCATGTGCAGAAAAACAGCCCCAAAGCATGATGCTACCACCCCCATGCTTCACAGTAGTGATGCTGTTCTTGGGATGGTACTCATCATTCTTCTTCCTCCAAACACGGTTAGTGGAATTATGACCAAAAAGTTCTATTTTGGTCTCATCTGACCACATGACTTTCTCCCATGACTCCTCTGGATCATCCAAATGGTCGTTGGCAAACTGAAGACGTGACATGTGCTGGTTTAAGCAGGGGAACCTTCCGTGCCATGCGTGATTTCAAACCATGACGTCTTAGTGTTTTACCAACAGTAACCTTGGAAACGGTGGTCCCGGCTCTTTTCAGGTCATTGACCGGCTCCTCCCGTGTAGTTCTGGCCTGATTTCTCACCTTTCTTAGGATCATTGAGACCCCACGAGGTGAGATCTTGCGTGGAGCCCCGGTCCGAGGGAGATTGACAGTCATGTTTAGCTTCTTCCATTTTCTAATGATTGCTCCAACAGTGGACCTTTTTCACCAAGCTGCTTGGCAATTTCCCCGTAGCCCTTTCCAGCCTTGTGGAGGTGTACAATTTTGTCTCTAGTGTCTTTGGACAGCTCTTTGGTCTTGGCCATGTTAGTAGTTGGATTCTTACTGATTGTATGGGGTGGACAGGTGTCTTTATGCAGCTAACGACCTCAAACAGGTGCATCTAATTTAGGATAATAAATGGAGTGGAGGTGGACATTTTGAAGGCAGACTAACAGGTCTTTGAGAGTCACAATTCTAGCTGATAGACACGTGTTCAAATACTTATTTGCAGCTGTATCATACAAATAAATAGTTGTTGTTTTTTGTTTAGATTATGTCTCTCACAGTGGACATGCACCTATGATGACAATTTCAGACCCCTCCATGATTTCTAAGTGGGAGAACTTGCAAAATAGCAGGGTGTTCAAATACTTATTTTCCTCACTGTATATATATATATATAAACATTCCACCTGGCTGCCACTAGGGGGCGTCAGATGTTGCTTCTACATGCAACTTTAATGTCCTTTAATTTCTTAATTTATTGGGGATTTTTCTCCTTTTAAGAGAAAGAAGCAGCTGGCGGAGAGTTTAAAGTCTGATTTAAAAACAACACACACACAGTGTGCAGTGATTGTCGAGGAATTAGGTCACACACTCTCTCTGCTGTCAGTGATCCTCGACTGTCTTGCCCTGGGGGCCCAGAGTCTGGGGTGGGGGGGGGGGGGGGGGGGGGGGGGTAAGTGTGTTGAGGATTTGATCTTAATTCATTTTCGGCAGAGCTGCAGATGTTCTGCTGCTAATCGTTCAAATTAGGGTTAAAGCTCCAGTAAAGAGAGAATCAGACGGACTTACAGTCGGATCAGCAGTCAGACCCACAAACAACCTGACAAACAGGAAGAGGGCCGGGGAGGCCTGAGATTCTGTTCTCTCCTCTGATGTACAGGGCTGTCCTCCTGCATACATCTGTCAGTTTCTCAAACGATGTAAACCAGTCTCTGTTCTTTGAGTCCGACAGGCAGCATCAGAGTAATATTAATGTACATTAAAACACGAGTGTGCGGCTCTGCAGCTTAGTGACGACGTAAGATGATGCTGGAATCTGAATTTACTCGGTGTTGTAGCTGTACAGTGCAGTGTAGGACGGTGAATGAGTGAACCGGGTTCACCTTGTGTTGTGCTGCATAAATAAAGTGACTTGGCTCATGGAAAGTAAGGCAGGTGTTTGGACAAGAAGGTCAGTCAGTGCCTCACCTAAGACGGAGAGGCTTCAAGAAACAGGAGACGCTTTTAAATAAGAGTTTAAAAAGAGTAACACTAAATAAAATAGAAGATAAAAATAAAACAAGACAAACAGGTTTATAAAAAGTACACAGCAGATATCAGTAAAGAGTCCCAAATTTGACCTGATAAAATTTAAAAGCCCTGGAGTTGAAGTAGGCCTGCAGTTTTCTGCCACTTTGAGATGTGGATCATAAAACGTGAACGCTGCTTCTCCAGGTTTAATAATAATAATTATAAGAATATTAATAATCTTTATTTATAGAGCACATCCAAGGAATTCTATGTTACAAAGTAATAAAGTCAACAAACTCTCCTGTGAAAGTTCGTTTTGAGAAAGGACTCAAAGGAGTTCACTGACTCAGCCCAGCTGATTTCTTTAGTCTGGATTGGAAGCAGACCAGGTAATAAAGACTGCTGACTTCAGAGCGGTCATGTTTTATACTCTGTTTTATAGATAAGGAAACTTTTTGCATGTGTGTAAATGTACATTAACCCACACAGGTTGCTGTGTGTCTCACCTGTCTGCCACCAGGTGTCCACTAAAGGACACCGTCCATCTCCAACCACACTGTGGAACCAGTGCCAGGCCTCGTGGTTGATGGGTTCTCCCACTGCAAACACAGAGTTATATGGTTTAATAAAACCTTTATCAGCTTCCTTTATTTAAACTGTGTGTTTAATCAGCCGCCAAAACATTTAGAAGCACTACAAGTACTTATGTACTATACTGTGGTATTCTGTTGTGCTACTTTATACTCCACTAAATGACGGCTGTGGTTACTTTTCAGATTAAGATTTTACAGTTAGCATAACTGTAGTATAAAACAAACTTTAAGATTAAACTGGTGGCTCCATGTTTAAGGCTTTTCATTTTCATTACCACAGAAGAGACACGTCTCCTCTAAACTTTAGATGTTTAATTACTGCTGGAGGCAAAAATAAACGTTAGAGAAAAGTGTGTATCAGAACTTCTTCTTTCCTCTCCCGACCCCTCAGACCGATATGGTGAGCTGGATTTTAAAAGCAGGACTTGTTCTGAGTCAACATTAAAACGTGATGTCACGTGAGACCTGATCCGAGCGTCCGCAGAGACGAGCGGTCGTACTTCTTCACCCAGCTGTCGTCGTACTTCAGCAGCAGCCGCAGGGCCGTCGGAGCTCCGTAGAACTGACTGATTCTCAGGCGCTGGACAGTCTCCCAGTACCTGCCTGCAGGACCACACACACAGTGACACGTATGAACACATGTACACGCTGTCACGGCTGGGTCACCTTTAATGTTGTGTTTTCTAACTACAAAAAAAGTCTAAACGGGGGCGAGAGGCTGAGCTGACAGGTAGAAAGAGTCCTGCCAGCAGCTCTGTTAGGCTTCCTTAGACACTGTGGTGCTCTGAGATAAATGCTATCTTAGTTTAGTGTGTAAACAAGTCGTTCAATAATAACATAATGCGAAACCTTCCCTCTGCTGCTCCTATCACTCTGCTAACACCTTGTTTAAATCTTGACCAATTTTAAAACGTTGGATCCCACAGACAGAATGAACCGGTGTTTAATATTTTAATCTTTAGAACAAACACAGACATAAGGTTCAGTCCAGACGCAGGACCACGCACTCTGTGTTTATATTATTATATTTATTAAGCGGTTTCAGAGTGGTGGTTCTGGGGACTTGAGATCTCACAGAATCTCACGTGATCAAACGTGACTTCAGACAGTAACAAACATGGAGGCAGACTGTCGTCGTCAGCTGGTTGACCTTGTGCGTGTGAGTTTTGCACGGAAAAACAAAAGGAGAGAATCAAACTGTGGATGAACTTGAGGCTGAGAAGAGGGAATCAGCAGGTTTATACATTGTATAGATGCACAACATGCTGGGGACGCGTCCCGCCTCGCTCTCATTGGCTGTGGCGGGTTTCTGATATTGGAGCCTCAGCAACCTTCAGAGTATGTCTGTAAGCCCCTCCCACTACAGGAGCATTCGGGCTGATAATTAGTTCGGCACTGGCCTCAGCTTGGGAACGCCCCTGCGATTACTGTCAGGTGATAAATTAGACAACACGTTCTGTTTATAAAGGTTACTGCAGCTTTAAGTCATTCCAGAGGATGATTAATATTTGACGTGAAATAAAAAGTAAACACAGGGAAACTCTTATCAAGGCATCGTTTGTCTTTTTACAGCTTCTTCCTGGACATTTCTGTCCCGAGCTGCTGCATGAAGTTCTGTCCCGAGTAACCAACAACTAACAGGTCAAAAGTCAAGAGCACATCACAGTGACAAAAGGTCACATCACCTTGTGGCGACGCCGTGTTAAGAGCTAAAACAATAGAGCTGAGATAAAGTGGCTTCGCTCCACAAGTGAAGATAATAAACCAACATTAACGGCATTAATGAGTAACCGAACACTGGAGAGAAGCCAGGAGAGCCCTGTAAGCCCCATTTAATTAAAGGGACAGGGTCTTGATATTTCACTCTGTCTGAAGGACAGAAACCACAACAACACACAGTCTGAGAGAAACCTTCTGTTTCCACTAAAGGTTCCTTTGTAGGGGACCAAAAACCAGAGGAACTAGGGTCTTAATTTACTTAATTTATTTAAGATTTAGATTTTATTTGGACATTTGAGACACCAGAACAACTGATCTCAGTTTGTTCTGATGATTCAACCAGCACCAACACTGAGCATGACGACGGGCTGGTTGATCCAGAGCTCTGCTGGTGGACTGAACCTTGTGTCTAGTTTTGGATCTTACCTGGGTCTGGATAAACAGGTGTGCTCTCAAACAGGACGGTGGTGGCGCCATTGCACAGCGGTCCATACACCACGTAGCTGTGCCCCGTTATCCAGCCGACGTCCGCCACACAGCCGAACACGTCTCCATCCCGGTAGTCAAACACGTACTGAAGAAATCACAACAGCAACATAAGGGTTACCACAGCGTCCGTCTGTTTCTGTCTCACACGAGGTGCAGGTGTGCAAAATTGTTTTCCATTTCCAGAAACTAAATTCCGAGTCCGAGATGCAAACCATCCACCTGCCATCTGGACCAGTTTATAAAACACAGATTCAACTTCCCAGCAGGACAGGAAGTATAACATGAGCTCAAACAAAACACTAAACTACGTGTTGTGTCTCGCTCTCTCCATCAGATTCCTGTGAACTCACACTCGACACAAACACAGTACAGAGAAGTACCAAGCTATATATTTATCCATGATTAATCATGATCCAGCTATATAACACTGACGGGGTAATTCTGCCTAATGAGTACTTTTACTTTTGATACTTTTAGTTGTAATGGACTAGTTTAATGTGGTATTACTACTTTTACTACATGTTTTTAATACTAGCAGTAGTACTGTTGGTCAGTGGTCAGTATGAGAGTCCTCTCTGTGTGAATGATTTGTTTGGTGGAAGGAATCTGGAGTTGTTTTGATTAGAAACAAAATGGCTGACGAGCCAACGTGAGGTGCCTAGCAACGCCTCCCCCTCCCTCCATCTCTCTCTCTCTCTCTCTGTGTGGTAGTGTCTCTCGCCCTGGCATGGGCCCAGCCGCCCTTGTCTTTTTCACATAAAGCAGCTTTTGTTCTGTTGTTTCATCCAAACAAGCAGCGAGCCAACAACCCCCCCGAACCCTGAGCCGCTAAGCTGCTTTAGAAATTAGCACTGATAAATATTTGGCAGTGACGGGGGCGGGGGGGGTTATGGTTTATGTTTTTATTCAATTATCATCAAAAACATCACGTCAGTCCTGCAAACACACGCGCAGAGGAAGCAGATGTTTCTGCTTGTCAGTCAGAAAAAGCTAATTTAAAGCTTTCTAAGGCAGATCTGCCCGCCGGGCTGCGTCCTCGCTGCTCGGAGGACAAACAGCGGCGTGTTGTTGCCCCGTTGTGTAACGTCCTCATTAAAACACCACACGAGTCACAGCCCTGAGACAACACAACACCACCCGAGCCCTGAGGCACAGAAACAGAGGGAAGCCGGCGTGGTGGCCCAGGTTCATCATTTATTTTAAACTCACAAATCCCAGAACTTCAAAACTTCCTGCAAAAACTTTCAGAATAAATATTACATAAAAACTACAAACAACACGTCTGGACAAACACTCGGATACACATCATCTGAGGTGAGGGTGTGTGACACTGTTGGAGCCCTGGACGAGATTTTAGATTGCCCCCCCCCCCGTCTAATCAAGACCTAATAGCCCCTGTTTTTCAGCAGCTTTTCTGCTCAGGTTCAAACTTTCTGCACATTCAGAATGTCTCCCACAGGTCCAGAGAAAAGTGGTAATATTAGAGACTAGAGACATCATTTAATGAGGATTTATTTAATAATTTAATTTCATTATTGCTCCGCTGATAGGATCCCCTTCAGACCGTCTGACAGACACAGTCTGAGACTGTATGTTAGGATGAAAAAAGGTGAAACTGAAATCACCTCTCATCAGGCAGAAATCTCACCACAGACACACACGTTACCTTCAGCAGCTCTGATAAAGTGCAGCTCACAGTTACAAACAGAGCAAGGTTGCACTTCAGTTTTTAGATGTTTATATTGCAAAACTTTACCAGCTACATTACCAATCTGTCACAAACAGTCTGGACAGGTTTCCTTGATTACTATCAATGTATATGCCGCTATCTCATCAGCTGGGCGGAGTTGATTCACGCCAATTCAAAAACTTTCACTTGGGCGCCCCCGGACATTTTGCGCCCTAGGTAACCGCCCATGTCGCCTACGCCACGGGCTGGCCCTGTGTGTGCGTGCCTGTACCTGGTGTGTGAGCGCGGCGTACAGCAGGTATCCAGCCTGTGTGTGGACGATGCCTTTAGGTTTCCCCGTACTTCCTGATGTGTAGAGAAGAAACAGAAGATCTTCACTGTCCAGAGGCTCCGCACGACAAACAGGGGACGCAGAGGACATCACCTAGAGAGACAAGATGTAACTGTACTACTACTACTGATACTACTACTGATGCCCTTCCTACTGCTGCTACTAACTAAGAATAATGCTGTGACGCCCTAACCAGTCCTCTCCCACATGTATCATTCAGGGATCATCCACTGATCAGGTGAGTCGACCAGGTGTCTCACCTCCTCCAGGGGGACGTCCAGCTGTCCCATCGCAGCAGGGTTTTCTGTCCTCTGAGAGACGAAGACGTGTCGGACAGTCGGGCAGCTCTTCACGGCCGAGTCCACCGTAGACTTCAGGTCGATGAGTCTTCCGCCCCTCACCTTCATTACAGGTGAGCACGGCTTTACACTGAGCTGTCAACACAACACACACCTGCTTAGCACAATAACCTTCACTGTGACAGAGTGCAGCAGCCTCCAGGAGAAGTAAAGCCTGGATGGAACTTGCTTTATCTAGTTCACATACTAGTCTGTCTCAGAGTTTGCGTACGTATGTCTCCAGAAATTAATGCTACACATCCACGAGATGAAGTCCAGCATTATTAAATTCAGCAGCATACTTTAAAAAAGGAGATTTATGGGGGATGTTTACAATAATCCTCCTGGAGCTAGTCCTTAATTACATCGTTATGATGTCACAACCTGCTCGAGTGTCGCTATGTTTGGTTTGTTTACAATGTGCATATTCGGAGGTTGTCGAGGAAGATAATCTGGTGTTGGCGAGGGATGATCCGGCCCTGATCTGCCCCCTAGTGGATTCATATTTAACACAACACAGCATGATGTTCATTTAGTAAATATGGTCCCATGGTAAATTATGGTGCGTTCTCACTTCATGTAAGTTAACTACAACGTCTTGTTCAGCGGTCAGTTGTACTAAAACACAGTCTGAGGAGTCGGTTGATAATTACATTTTGTTTTAAGCCAGTTTGTCGATAGCCATATTAGCATCCCAGCTAAAATCACAGTTTATAAATCACCTAGCTAACCAAGTTACCAAGCTCCACCCTTCATCTGCATATGGTGACATCTGGTCCCAAAAAAACAAAGATGGTGACGGTCAAAATGCCAATAACTCTTAATTCTTTACACGGCCACGGTCGCACCAGCAGACTCCAGAGCAGCTTCTTCCCTCAGGCTGGGAGCCTCCTCAGTTCATCTTCAGCACTGCAGCATGCAGAAAAGCTTATTTCTGTCATTGTTATTCGATATCTGCTGTATATCTGTTTTGTAAATGTGTGTTTCTGTTTTTATGGGTAGCATGAAGCGGCTCTTCTTTAAGGTGCTGAATTAACTATTGGACTCTTCAAACCTGCTGTGAACTTTAAAATATACGTCTTTTTTCCCCAACAGTTTTGTTCTGACTTTTAACCCTTTGATCGGAGAAGACTTTCTGCTTGGTTGGGCTCACATGTGATCACAGGTGAGTTATTAACTCTCTCACAGGACGAGTTCGGACCTGAACTGAGTGACTGAGGAACACGTTTGACTTGTCTGAGCACATTCACAAGCTTTTCTAAGGTTCTCATGGTTTGTCTTGTGTCAATACTGCAGCTTAAACTTTATCTTCTGCCCGGCGGATCCACCAGCGGCTCCGCCACTGCAAACACAGCAGGTCACTATTCCAGGTGTTTGAGTTTGAGTCACGCGGAGGTGTAACACCAGACAGAGTCAAATTTCAGAAATATGTCCCATTTTATTTGTACAGCCCAAAATCCCAGATCACAGCCTGCCTCAGGAGCCTCACAGTCTGAGCAGCATGCAATCAGATATTTTAGTCTCGTATCCATGTCTGTCCTCTCTATTGTGTGCTGCAGAACCAAGTACACCTGTACGTCAGTCAAGTTGTTGTCGTCATGATTTTAACTTTTTGTTTTTTCTCCTGGAGAGTTTCTGGTTTTAAACTCTGAGACCGCAAAGTTTCCAAAAACACCACACCTGTCAGGAAACTTCCCGCTTGTTTGAGCCTGCATGTGATCGCAGGTGAGATATTAACGGGACGAGTTCTGACCTGAACAGAGGAACCGGTGTCACTCGTCTAAACACGGATTTATGTAAAAAGCAACATTTCAGTCACAGACATTAAACTGAATATCTAGAACAACGTGTTTATGCTGCAGCCACAGTCTGCAAGGACCATTCATTGAAGTAGTCACATCACAAACGCCTGTTATCCCACCGTCGGGACAATTACACTTCCAATAACAGTTAACAATAACTGATAATAAAAAACAACAAACAGGAAATGCAAAATCATTTCTAAGCTCAACTAGGAGAGAGTCCAAACATCTGTTACAAGCTGTAAATAATCTCTAAATCATTATCATAGTTTGATCCCCCGTGAAAGCGTGTGCAGGAATCCACAGTGCTCTTTGGCGCCACCGACACTGTCATCAGACTCAGCACGATGCAGACCTGAAGACAAACACGTCCTCAACCCTACACGACAGGAGAGGTCGTTTGCCAACGACTCAGAAAACATCGGAGAGTAGGCTACTGGCGAACTTCGTTGTCATGGGAACAATTATAAACACGTGGTTAACATTGTGAAATAGTTGCAGGTTGGTCGGCTTTAGGAAAACATCATAGTTTGAGTTGAAATAAGTCACATGACGTAAGTAAATTAAGTTAGGTAAGTTAAAATGAGTTTCACACGTGACACAAACAGCAGTCTAGTAGGTGAAAGTCCAGATTGACCCGAGAAGCCAATACTGTTCGTCTCGCAGGACTCAGGAAAAGAGGACGGCCAGTCTAAGAGAATCCGACTCTTTTCTAGGCGACGTAACTATGCGAGAATAAATGTGCTACGCGAAGCTCTGTCATCAAATACGATTTTACCCATTTTAAATAGTTACAAAATCAATCGAAAATCAGCATTAATAATGTGGCAGGCCACCACAAATAAATCAGTGTGGGAAACGCCTACTGTAGAGGTCATCCAGCTGGATCTTTGCCTTTATTAAGGCGAGGGTGTCAGCATCTGTGACTGAAGTAAAATCAATTTGCAGAAGGCTGCGGTACATAACATGAGGCTACACACTGCAACATAATATTACATTACAAACCAAAAGAAAGAACTTAATTGTGAGTCTTATTAAAGTATCATAATGTGCGTCTGTGTGTATGATCTTGCTAAATGTGGTTGATGGATTTTGTTGTTTGAGTTTGAGAACGTGCGCCGCTTGAAATGTTGGAATAGTGGGACGGCATTCTCTCCTTCCCTTTGGTAAAGGATGGTCTGGTGTACCCTATGCTAAAGAGATATGTAAGGAAGCATTGAGGCACCTTTCCTCAGCTTGAGAGAATTCGAACAGCTCTTATCATGGCTGCCACTGAAATACTACCGGGTCACTTCACTCAGTCAGAACCTTTCTAAGCAAAAAAGACTTTTCAAACGCAGCCTTACTCTCTTTAAACTACCTCACCTGACTTCTTCCTTTGCGCCCATCATAATTACTAAGACCACCAGAGGTCTCTGCCTAACCTTAAACTCAACTATAGGTCAAAGAAGCGTGCTGCACAGACAACCTATACGGCTGTAGTGGTCTGCAGTCTGAAGAATAAACTTCTTCTTAAAGAAGCAGAGAGTTTTGTAATAAATAAAAACTGAACACAGGATTTCTGACCTAGTGCCCCTTCAGGACAAACTTTACGT